TGGAACCCCGGATGGAGTCAGGCCACGTGTAAGACCGAATGGAAGGTGGAATGACTCCGTGGCTGGGGACTTGATGATGGTGGGAGTATCCAGCAGACATGCTGCTGACCGAAATGATTGGGAAAGTGCAGTTGAGAGGGCCAAGGGCAGCTTCAGGCGCCTGTCGAGCCGTTAAATAAATAAATAAATGAAGCTATATTAATTTTTTTAAAATACCTACCTTTTATCCAACTTTGAGTCAAATCCAAAGAGCGGTTTCTGAAATATTGGCATATCTACAAAAATGCGTTTGCGCAAAGTAGGCGGAAGTGCTGGTTAGAATTTGATGAAATTTATATGGGACCATCTAGACACCAACCTGCACAATTCCAGGAAATTTCATGAAAATCGGATTAACGGTAGTAGGTGATATGGCCGTTACATCGATTTGACTACAGACAGACAGACACCGAACCAAATTTGATCCTTGATGTCTGAAACGTAAAACGCGAGTGAAAATTTTCGGTTCTGAGGATAAATTTTTTTTAACCTCTTGCACGAATACAATGCTTCCCTACCTCCGGTAGTGGGTAAGCAAAAAAGTAAAAAGAATAAAATCATATGTAGTTTTGAGTTTTTGTTAAATTAATTAAATGGTTTGGATTAATGAATAAGCGGATTAATGAAAAGTTTCAAGGTCACCAGATAATCTGTTTAAGTTTGATAAGACATGTCCTCCATACTTATAGTAATCTTTACCGCGGTGATCACTTCAATTGGAAAGTACTACTTCAGTATTTGACTATGGTATTAATTTCATTGATCATTGCAAAAATTAATCTGATTTAAAGTAGCAAGTTGATCATAGAAATGTGTTGATCTTGTTTTTTATTTATTTTTTCCCATCCTTGCCTTTTAGGTTATGTGGGGTTTCCCCAGGTCAAGAGGGAAGGTGGGGGAATAATGCCAGAGTTAAAAGTCCCTCCAACACCGGATTTGGAACTCGTTATCATGGGCTTATCATCTGATCACCGGACAACGCGAATTTTACACATGCGTTAGCCCGCTCGGTTGCCCCGCCCTCGAAGTGTGTTGATAATTTATCTGGACTACATTAACTTGGTACCTTTACCAAAATTGCAAACAATTCCTTTTATCTCTTATTTATTTCTTATCTGGTTCCTGCTAACTATTGACTGGAAAATGTAACGCGGTAAAGATCCCTTTCTAAAATTACAATCTCGTATCCTACTGCTTAACGTATGCAATACTTGCAGTCACCTAAGCACCCTTAGTACCTAAAAATGACGTTATTCAGAGAACTATCGAATTAAAAAAGAAAATCCATGTTCTCATATTAATTCTGAAAAAAAAAATAATAAGTTAAAAGACATGGTATATCTACCCACAGAACGAGCATGGTGGTTACCTCAGGATAGATCTATCCAGTACTTCCATTTTTAGAGCAATGATTACAAGTATTACATATGGAATATTCAGGCTGTCCAGTGAACATATTTACTTTATCTTCTTCCACAAGAAGATCCTGGATCAGTCAAAAATCTCAATAGGAAATGTATCGATATAAGAGCTCAACTAAATAATTATTGATAGATCCTCTTATCATTTTATGATTGTTGGTAACCTAATTATTAAACATGATGAGAACCTGAAGGACGTATTATGAAAATCTCCAAATGTCCAAATGCATCACTTCATCTGAATTAGGACAACTTCCTAAACTCAGCACTAATCGCTTTGAAGGAATCCATCAATCGATTGATTGCAATACCGATGGACCGATGGACCGATGTATTTATGCTGAGTTCTAGCGGGAAGTTAACAGTTTTGGAAGTTTACAAAACACGAAAAATATAAAAGGAAGTATTCCATATTGAAATGTTGAGTTTAATGTAAGGAAGGTTGAGAAATAACAATACGGAGGTTACATCAAGCGGACCCATCGACCCCAAAAGCCGATGGAATCGCTGAACTATTAGTGATTTAATCGATGACTAACGAAGCGCGCTAAGTTGCTATATGGATATTTCGATGAGTTTAGGGACGGCCTGATGGATTTTCGATTACCATCAATGAGCTCATCACTCAGTTTAGGAATCTGTTGTATAGCCATTTGACGAAATAGAATTAAAAAAATGTTTTGTTTTTTTAAATGATAAGATAATAATAAATAATTGAGTAAACGTTTCGTTAACTAAGGATGTAATTCTTTTATAGGCGTGAGTAAAAGATAACTAATTAGCTATGAGTTGTTTCAATTGAATCAATTAATATCACGAAATAAATATCCGATATATTTTTCAATAAATATGATCTAATTCTATATAAATTAAGGACGTCAAATTTGATTAATTTTATAAATATAAGTTCTTCGCAAATTTGTCTTTGGAGCGTTTCTCTATGTCTTAATACTAGTAGAGCGGTAAAATCTCACCCTTTGATTGGAATTATAATAACTTGTCGAATTACTTAATTTGTTTTAATCTTTTACTGTCTTGTACGTGGTTAGCAATAAAAACATAGTTATACTTATCCTGTATTTATGTGTAGGTGTATTTGTTATTAATAAAAAAAAGTACTTTAGAAACTTAGTTTAATTTAACTTTAATACTACTTCAATGAAAATTTCAAGCTGGAAATTCCAGAAACGAATAACTATAATTCTATCCCCAAAATAATACAAAATGAGAAACATTAAGGTGCGTTAATACATTTAACAAACTATGAGAAATACAATTATCTAAATTTACTAACAGAGACATTATTGCTAAGGCAACCTTTTTTTTTATTTCTTTTGTTACTGACAGCAGATGTAAAACATCATAAACAAGTAACAAAAAGACTGGCATAGGAATACAACTATTTAAATATTTGTTTTTCCCATAGTTTGTGAAATGCACCTTTATAAAGGTGCTATAGATATCTATCGATTATTATGATACAATAAACTTTTACCATAATTTATAGTTAGAGTTATATTGGTCTTCAGTAAGACTTAATTTTCTTTAAAGTTTTAGATTTTATATTTGCGAGAATTACATAAAATGAAGAATTAAGATAGATTATTTTTATAGTTATTGTAGAGTGACATAAACATATCAATGATGTACTGTCAAGAATATATTAATATTATTTGTATCCATTCAAAATGGCGTATTTTAATTTTTTTTTATAATTAAGCTAAACATAATGGTCAAACTGGTTAGAGAGATCAAGTTTTAGATATATTAGCAATAAAATATTATAATTCTCTTATGATATTTAAAGTGGGACTGCTCAGTTGTTTTTAAATTAAACCTGCTGTTTTTACAATTGTTGTATCTCACCTGATTGTTACAAGCCTTTTGTACTTTGTTTCCTAGAAACAAACATTAACTGTGAGATTAAGAAACTTATAAGGAATTGTTTGGATTTTAATCTATACATTAAATAAATATTTGTAACAATCAATTTGGATATTATCATAAAACAGGTTAGTTGAACTGATTTTTTTTTTTTAAATCTGCATTTTACTTAATTTAGAAATGGAGTATACATAATAATTAATACAGGTTTGCTAAATGGTATAAAAAAAAAAAAAAAGAAAAAAATGCTTTTGAGAAACCATTAAAACTTTTTCTGTTAGCTTTCTGAAAATATTCTATGAAAAAAATTAATTGTATGCAAATTTAAATCTAGTCATATTGAGGGAGCATATTGATTACATCTAGGAAAAAAAAAACTGATGAAGATTTATAAATTTATAATTAATCAGTAAAATTGATGATTGTAAAATATTTTTCTTTGAATATATTTTAAAATAAATTCCATAATGATTATTGTATTTTATCATTAGATGTTGCAGGGATTAGGTCAGTAATCATCCTCTCCATGAAAATGATTCCATTAAAAATATAAAAAAATAAAATATTCAGCAAACTTGGTTTATTCATATACTAAAAAATGTAAAACATAGTTTTATTAGTACTTGTTATTTTTAATGGGTAAACTCAAATTTAAGTGTAATGGTAAGGTTTAAAAATACAAAAATAGTATCTTAACTTTAAACCTTATTTTTCTTAAGTAGTTTTTATATTATTATGAGTGTTGGGAACAATAATTTTTCTGTTAGTGTCAGGAATCAATTATTTATATTTGTAAAAAGTTAGTACTTATATCTTACTGATTATAAAAAAAAAATTTAACAGATAGAGACAAATGTTAAATATAAAAAAAATAGCTGTTTTTTTTTTTTTTTTGGTGATTTTGGCATGGAAGGTGTCCCATGCTTCTTTTAAAAAAATACAGAGGTAAGTATCTATGTAAATAAATGAAAACATTTTGATAAATTATACTTGAAATTAGTGACACAATGTTTACCGTTTACAATTTCTGACTCCAACTTTTCATGGCATTTATAAACCCCTTTCTCTCATGTTAAATTTTGAATTATTTGGAAAGAAATTTAAAATAACAATCATGAAACAAATTATATCAATGCTTGAAAATAAAAGTTAGTAAAAATATATATGTAAGTTTTATTTGGTAATACTTTTATTTTACAAAAAAAAAAAAAAAAAAAAAAATATAAAAAAATTACAGCCAATATTTATTTATTTATTTTTTATCAAATATATATTAGCCAATAAGTTGTTTTAGTGCTTAAGCAATAATCTCTTCTTATTTTTTATTTTTTTTTTTTTAACAAATTTATGTTATTCTGTTTCTCCAAAGCCTATGGTTTGCAAAAATTATGAAAACGTTTTGTTGTGAACGAGTTGGTATTTTCATTTAATTTTGTACTTTATTTTGTTTTTAAATAAAAATCATTTGATCAACAATATCTTTATTAGTTTTATTTTACTCTATGGCATCACCTGTTTATATGAACATATTGTAATCAGTATGAGTACGGTACTAAAACTGTTTGTAATTTCTACATATAAACCTAAAAAGACGACTGTAGTACCAAGTTATTGATTTTTAAATAATAAAACATTTGTTTTTATTAAAGGAAATGAAAAAAAACAAAACAACATTGGCATCTGGATTTCCAAATAATTACTAAATAAGACTTGATAATGGCTCTAATCTAAGCCAACACCTCATCCTTAAAAATAAAAAATAAGTAAATAAAGAACTGGTGATAAAATTGTATTTATTTAAGGACAACATAACTTATGATATTAAAAGTAGAAAATATGGATAAGAATTCATTTTTTTTATTTTATCTTTAATTTTTACTTCAATGAATACATTTTAATTTACAAATCTTATAAAATTAACAATAGTAATTAAATTAAATTACACAGTGTTTATTGCATTTTACCTTGAAGTTTCAAACGGTTCAATGTTTACTTAAAAAAATTGATTTTTCTCTCTTATTTTGTTGCAGGAATGTCTTCTCCAGAAATATCAAATGTTAAAGGAGAAGAAGGTATGTTTCTAAAAACTGAATCGTTTGATAATTTAATACGTCTGATTTTGATTTTTTTTTTTTTTTTTCTAGCTGTTGTAACTATTAAAGAAGAACCTACATTCGAAGAAAATTCTGAGACAGATTGTGGTAAGTGAAAAATATAATAATTAGCGAGGTTGTAATTTAAAATTATAGTTTTAAACACATTTCTCATTGTGTTTGATATACTTTAAATGATATTATCGATAACTTTCATTTTTGGTTTGTTTTTATATCATTTTATATTCATTTCTCAAATATATATTTTTTATTCCCTCAATAAAAATATTTGATACCTAAAACAGTACACATTTAAACTTTCATATTTCATCTGACTATCTGAATACATTTCCACCATTGTTCTGATTTGCTTACTTTTTTAAGATATGTTTTTCTTGATGATCTTACACAGTGATTGGTCAATCTGAAGTATTCCATCATCCAATCTACAACTAAAGCTATCTTCGTCAGATCCAAACTCCTCTAATATTCCTCTCCATATTATCTCTGCACTTTTCTGGAACAACATTCTTATTCCTCTCCATAACTCTATTAAAAACCTGAGAGTCATCTTGGACTAACACATATCCTTTTTATCATTTATCTGAAATATTCTAGAAATCCATTATTATCCATGAACAGTTCCATTGATAGCATAAATCTCTAAAACTTGTAATGGAATTAAGAAATCTCATGAATAAGAGAGAAATGTTTCATAAAATTTGTTTTGGTATTCTCAGATAAACTCATAAATCTGGCTAATGTATCGAGTTAAAGTAGTTTATCTTTTGCTCTGACAGCAATATTTCCATTGATTCTTGGTTATATCATGTGCCTCAAATGTTCCTCTATCAAATCGTAGAATACCAGAAAACTGAATCAATCAATATTTCTCCATTTTGTTTGCTCTTCCTCCTTTTAGATTTATTTACCTATCTCTATCTCTAAGCCTCCTTAAATTTTTCTACCGGATTATTCAGCCTGACAGCTAGACAATAATCACTCATCTATATTCATTGCTTACATTTTTAGGGTACTTGATCTGAGAATCATAGGTGCAGATTTTCCATTTTTATTGGAGAGAAACGAAAAAGAAAAAAACAAAATGCCAGACATTATGTTATAAATTATGCAAAATGTTAAATTCATAAAATCAACATAATTACTGTGAAACTAATAACAACATGCTGAATATTTAAAAATAAATTTAAATATTTATATTATAAAGATGAAAAAAATTGTCAGGATTCGCAGTCAGAAGTTTCTTTAATGAGCCAACATTCCGCCCCCAAATATGTGGGTCATCATCAGAACATAGGCCTGAAAGTAGGACACATGTTTGGGTCAAAATATCGGCTAACTCATTAAAGAAACTTTTGACTGCAAATTCTGACTTTTTTTTTCATCCTTATAATTTCAACAGTCGACTACATATCTCTGTGTATGTTATAGTTGTGTGTGTGTTTTTTTTATAGGTATATTTGATCATATCTCAACAAAAGAATTATGTATTTCTTAATAAATTAATTAAACAAGGAAGGAAGTAGGCAGAGGAGGTACATTAAACACAGGTACATTTCCAGAACTTTTTCACCAAAAAATTAATAATGTTAAAAACTGAAAAATATTTTTGATTCCTTAATTTTTACTCATATTTTTGTTGTATATTATTATCTCTGAATATAGTTGAAAATTTAGAAATAAATAATAGGAATATTTAAGTTGTGGCAAAATACTGATGTACCTACTCCTTTTGACCTTCGCCGACTTTTCCTATTTTCTTAATTAATTTCAGTGTACATATTTTATACATTCATGGAGATTATTTGTGATTAATTTTTATTTTTTTTTTACTTCAAATTATTGGGGAAAAACTATATTCTGGTCCACTCAATACTTTTATTGGGGACGATTATCGCCCTCGCCACTTCTGAAGTTTTTTTTTTTCATAATGTTTAATATGTAATTAAAACAATTATACTTTTCTTCATTAATAATTTAAACTTTTAATTTGTTAGTGGTGCCACTTATCAAGGAAGAAGAGCTCATTTTAGATGGAAGCTCACCTGAAGGCATTGGTAAGCAAACACATTTTTATAATGGTCTCAATGTGAGAACCAAAGAATTTAGGTTCAAATGTAATTATTTGTAATATTTTCTTGTTTATAATCATTATTATTCAAATTAATTATAAACATTTACCTCATTAAAAAAAGAAAAATAATTTTTATAAAGTACTATTTGATACTCAGTACTTATACTATTTTTAATGCCTCCCGCAGTGCCACATCCTACGCCCTGAAGACGACCTGCAAAGTGGGTCGAAACGTCGGCAAAAATTAAAATAATTTATATATTTTAATTTTTTTTATTTATTTGACCGCAACCTCGACTAACTCCTTCTCATATACTATTTTTATTTTTAGAGGTTTGTATCCATTATGGTTTTCTTTGATTTTTTTTTTCTGTAGGCATTGATTTCTTTGAAGATCTTTGGACACGTTAACCAGTCTTCTCCACCATTGCCTATCTTGAGCTATTTTTTTCCAGCTGTCAGCATGCAGCTCAGCTGTGTCTCTGTTGATTTGATACATCCATCTGGTTTTTAGCCCTCCACCTGGTCTCTAACCAATTATTGCAACAATCAGTGTTGCATAAAGGTTTCCTGATGTTTTCTGGATTGCTCTGAGCTAAACGTGCCGCCCATCTTAATCTGCTTTCCTTCATATAATATGAAATTGATAGAACATTTTCTGTAAGCAGTTCTTGGTCTTTTTCCTCTAATCATTAGTACTTTGATCCCAAATTGCTCCTGTTATCGTGTGGAGCATTTTCCTCTCAAATCTTTCAAAACTTCTTTCAATGGTGCTGGTTAGTGCCCAGGTCTCACAGTCACTGGCTTTATCATAGCACTGTACATTCTTAATTAGAGATTTCAATACCTTTGAACGTGAAAAATAAGCTATATACTTTACTAAATTTGTTAATTGACAAGGATTAGTCATATTGATTGATGCGAAAGCAGAGATATTCCAGTTGGAATCATGTGACATATGGTCATGGTTTATTCCCTATACATAGTAATTCCGAGATCAATGATTTAGCTGCTGTGGTAGGATTTTAGGACAAGAAGCTCTTGGTATATCTATATTATTATACAACTAAATAAGTGTAATTAGTACCATATAATGGCAGCATTGGAGATATATTCGAGTACAATGTCACTAGACGTGGAGGTTAAGGCCAGACTTGGCTAAAGGTATATTATTTTAAAATACATTATTTAAAAACAACATGTATTTCCTGTTTTTAAATTACATTGTATTTTAATTACAAAGTATTTAAATTGTTTTCGTAAAAAAGTATTTCAATTTTAACATTTTAGGTATTTTGGTATATTTTAATTAAAAAATACTTGGACCGCATGAAGTGGCATTTTACAACTAATTCCTTAATACATAAGTTTATTTTTGTAAGGAAAGGAGTTATAAGAACATTTGGAATATATTGTAAATAAGAACATTGTAAATATATTTAAAAAAAAAAATCTGGTGCACGCAACACACAACTTTCACTTACTCTTTGAACTTTGAATAAAAATTATTTTCTGGCCATGTTAGGCTATTATAAAATGTTTTAAATTGCATTTTAAACTGAGCTAAGGCTAAAAAATCACAAATGCTATTAAAATAACAAAAGTCCTATTTATTATATCACCGGTTGATTATGGATTGTTCGATTCGTTGATTATGGATTGTTCGATCCATTGATTATGGATTGTACGACTATAAGTCATTAAACTGTTATTTTGCATTGCAAAGTTTATTAAAACGGAATTAAGAGATTTGCAGTGTCTGTCATAGACAGGTCAAAAGTTGTCACACTAATTGTAAGTGGATTCTGTTGGAATATCGCAAAAAGAAAAATTATCAAACTATTCACTAATTTAATTTTCTAAAAGGTTACATGATGATTTTTCGGAATAAACGGACGATAGATATCTAAATATTTAAATATATTATGAGATCTAGAGTTATTAAACTACAGTAAATATATTTAGGGTTATAAACGTATCTATGAAATATTTTTGTATTTCACTTCTTTTTTCACACAAGTACAATGAAATAGTAGTGGAATATCACAAAGAGAAGATCTATCGAATTATTCACTAATTTAGTTTTCTAAAAAGTTATATGACAATATTTTGGAATTAACTTTAATACCTAATTATTTATAGAGAAATACTTTATTAAAAGTAATGCTGCCCTACTACATAGGGTTACTTCGTACACAGCATACTTATCAATCCATACGGACATTAATTTTATATTATATTTTTCTTTTTTTTTTCTCCCCCTTCATAACAATACTCTTACAAATTATCAACAATAAACCATATTAAACAATAGACATAGCATAATAAACACTTTCCCAAAATAAAAAAAAATTCCTTTTTTCTCTTTAAATTCTCAAACGCCAGGAACGCAATATAACTTGAATGTAGCCAAAAAGATAAGACGATTATGGACCAATTTAAAATTTAATAAATAATTACTAAACTACAGTAAATGTATTTAATATTATAAACACATGATTTATACATCCATGAAATGATTTTATATTTTATTTCTTCTTTCACACAAGTATACTGAAATAGTTTTTTTAACAATACCATCAATTTGCTTAGGTGGCTTTTAAATACATTTTAAAAAAATTAGCATTACCTTATTAACACATTCAAAATTCAAAAACCGAAACAAAGGATATACCCATTGCAGCTACAGTGGCTTAATACTATTATTAAGCCACTGTAATTGCAGCAGAACATATTAAAAAAAACTAGAGACCATATCTTATCTCCTAATTGTCCGATTTTAACGACTTTTTGTTAGACTGCTAACATACAAACACACAGACACACAGACACACAGACCATTTTTCGGGACTTGGTCATTTCGACTCAGGGTACCTCAAAACGTATAAATCCGTCGAAAACTCAGATTCAAAAATTTTCTCGATCGCAATACTTACACTTACTATATATTACATATATACGTAAGTGAAAGTAAAAAATGAATAATTTAAATTTGATTAATATTAATAATTAATTGCTTAATATTAATAATTAATAAAATTCAATTAATATCTCTACATTTTTTTTTTTATAAAAGTAACGTTTTGTCAATTTTTTCATTTTGAATATTCTCTAAGGTATTATATAAATTGAATACTTCCTCTTTCTTTGCTAAAAAGTCTTTGAAAATATTATGAAAGAAAAAATGCATGTTTTTTTTTTAAGAGTATTTATTTAACAAACCAAGCCCTTCTACTCTTTCCTACGATCCTGAAGTCTTGCATGATTATTTCAAGGCTAATCAATTTTATGGCCAAAGATATTATAATTGTTTTACCAATTTAACACAATAAACCTTAATAAGTTTCTTCAATCGATATTCGATTGATGAATTCTCATTCAAATGATCAGCTTTGGTACAATACTTGAAGGAGAATCTACTCAATTTTGATTTATTTATTTCAATAATGAAGCATTGTGATCGAACGAAAAATTCAAAAACTTAACCCCCTCTCAAAATTTGAGGTTTTACGTTTCAAGATACGTAGAATTCGAAAAATGAATAAAAAATTTTTTTTTTGTCCATCCGCCTTGCCTTCCACCCATTTTCTCTGAAACTACTGGACCAAATTTTTTCAAATTTGGATTTAAAATTAGAGCCACTCAGAATGATCCTCCTTCATTGACATTACTATCCGCCTTTTGCTTTCAAGATGGTGACGGAAAAACCTGCGTTGCTATAGACTGTAGCGCCTAAACTAATGTAACAATTTCAATTAAACTTCAGTAATGTCTTCTTCTCGATTTCTTTTTCTTTGTCAATAGGAAGGTGATGTTACTTTAGATGTATAATTGTTTGGAAATAATAAATCACTCTTAAATAATTTGCAGCATTTTTTATTTCATTTTATGTGTTTAAAATACAAAATAAAATACTTTTTTCATATTTTAAAATCTTATAAAAAATAAACAGTTTTTGAAATTTGTATTTTAAAATATTTCATTTGAAATTCTGCCCAGGTCTGATTTAGGCCAAGATCATGAACAGATTATATAGACTAATAATAGTAGATAAAAACTAGTTTACTGATTTAAAGAAGGATTTGAAATTGTATCTCTTAATTAAATAAGATAATGAATTATTTACATACCCTGATCTTTAGATTAGGAAATGAAAAGTTATCAAGTTAAAATTTATTGATATTAGTAACATAACATTACTAATTCCAAAACTTTTCTGAAAACTCAAGATTAAAAATAAGAATAAAAATAGTTTTCTTTATTCTCATGTCTCATTACGGACATCGCACTTTTTACTGCTATAATTAATAAAATGGATCATTATGAAATCTCTTAGTGTTTTGTGGTGAGCATTATTTTTTAAAAATTAAAACCTAACCAAAAAATGGAATATTACAAAGAAAAAAAAATTAAATGTGATTTTTTTCCAGATAATTTTATGGACATTAAACAGGAAGAACATTGTATAACAGATGGGACGTCACTTACAAATAATTTTCAAGTGGACATTGGTAAGTGACAAATATTTTTTATATACAACAAATTGGTGTTATTATTTTGATTCAAACAGAAAAAAAAAAAAGGAAAGTAGAGCAATATATACTGTGATTACACTGATATTTTCATAATAAGAGACCTACATGTAATTTAAGAATTTTTTCAGTGAGTTCCTTCTGTATTCAAGTAGCCACAAGTTAGGATATATATTTTTATTGATTTTTTTTAAACATAATTAAAGTAAATAAAAAGTTATATATTATTCATATATAGTGATATATAATTAAAGCAAATAAAAAGTTATATATTATTCATATATAGTGTGCAAGGTTCAGTCGGCCCAAAATTTACAATGGGACAAACTGGGAATTTACCCAGAGCACTAGTTTTTAGGAATGGAAGAATTTGAGGTATGGAGAAAGTAGATAAACAAAATAATTTTAAAGACGGTAAAAATAAGTTTTGCTTAATATATGTCAAATCCTACAATTTAAAGCAAAACAAAAATGTGTGTACTATCCCCACTCTTGCAAAATAGTTTTCATTATAAGGAAAAAATCGAGGAAAAGGCTTAATTATAATATTAGGCTTAGAACTAAATATCTAATGGGAAAAAATAATAACAGCCTGTGTCATAAAGAAAACTGTAATATTTAGTGCCATTTATGGGTTTAATCTACTCTTATCTGGTCGTAAGTCTCCTCTCACGCGACAACACAAAAATATTATTGTTACAATACTGAAATTGAAGGTACACAAACGAGTGAGGATCACTTATAAAAAGCTATAAGGGTTTAATCATTTAGTAAAGAAATAATGTTATTTACAAACTACAAATTAAATATAAATTATTTCTATTAACCTACTGGATCTATTCATTATAAAATTATTCTATAATAGTTCTCTGATAATTTTCTAAAACAAAATTATTTTAATTTCATGAATTATCTTTTCTCCTTGTTCAGTTCAAACGATTTTGTTTTTTGTATCAATAATACTTCAAATTAACACAAATTTTACTACTGCAGTAGTCACATCCTCTTAAAGATGCCTCTTCTATTTATTTGAATTAAACTCCTAAGATTACTTTAAATATTATTTAAAAAAAAGTACGATTATTAAAATTCTAGAGAGTACTCTCTATCTGCTTAAAGGCGGACTAATCACCATTTTACAAATTATACAACTGTTCATTTAATTGTACTACTCGCTCAAATTGTGGAACTGTAATTTACATGTGTTCTGTAGTTCAGATTATAATATGTTTTTCAATATAGTGTAAGCAGGAAAAATCAATAAATTTCTAGTCTTTATTGGAGTATTTTAATTTGATGAGATTGAAAAATGTATTACGTGTTCATTAAAAACACTTTTTTATATAATAGAGAGTATTTTAATTTGTCCATTGAGTATCTTAATCAATCCCTGATGATTGAATTTCTATTCAGCACTTGAAATGAAATTTTAACTTTATTTTTAATAATTTTTGGTATGACTGCAATCTTTATTTTCTAATGTTTTCTGTTGTTTCGGAACTAGAACCTTTTCCCTAGCAAATTTTCAAGTAAAGTTATTACAGAACTTGTATTTTTAAAAAACTTTTATTTAAAAGTTTAATGAATTTTGACAAAATGTTGATCTAAAAAATTACTCAATCTTAGCTATTTAAACAATGAATTAGAAACAAGTAAAACAAATTACTAACCAAATCCAAGTCCAATTACTACACAATTAAGGGATTTCTTATTTAATACAAATTTTTTAAAGAACTTTTACTAAAAATATAGAAGTTTATTCCAATAAAGTTCCATAAAAGTTTCAACTCCTGCTTAGAACATTCAGGGATATTGCTCATTATTATTAAAAATTTTCTTAGTCTCTTACATCCTGTTGCATTCTTTATTTTAGACTAAACATGATATGAAAAATATGTAGATACGATATTAGGCAATAATTAGATAGTAAATTGATTAAAATATTTTCATAATGCTTTCTTTTAGGTGACGATGAAGGTAACTCTATATTTTCATGTTACCATTGCGGAGGACTGTTTAGTAACCGAGAGGTTTTAAAACTTCACATAAAAGTGATCCACATCAAGCATTTAAAAGTCCATCCTAAAACCAAATGTAATAAAACTGAAATACCCTCGCCTACATGCTGCAACAACTTTATTGTTGTACAAAAGCACGAAGTGGAGGAATTGTATAAAAATGTTATCAACTATTACAAAACACGTAGATTGTCCAAATTAAGGAAGGGAAAATCGTCAAAGCCAAAGCTTAAGCCCTACGAATGTTCAAAATGTGAATACAAAAGTGCTTCTAGTGGAAATTTAAAAATCCATATGCGTCATCATACGAAAGCTAAACCTTTCCATTGCTCTATCTGTAATTATAAGACTGCTTATGCTTGTAGCTTGAAGACCCATCTGATTCGACACTCGAAATTGAGGCCTTATCAGTGTGAACAATGTAATTACCGAAGTGCTTGCCCTAGTAATCTGAAGCAGCACATGGTGTGCCATTCAAAGGCCAAACCATATTGTTGCCCCCTCTGTGATTACAGAACCGCCTACACTTGTTCACTGAAGATACATATGTTACGGCATTCAGAGATGAAGCCTTACCAATGTCCTAAGTGTGAGTACAGAAGCTATTGTTCTGGTAATGTAAGGCAGCATATGGCAAGGCATACAAAAATGAAACCTTTCAAATGTTCACAATGCGATTACAAAAGTGCTTACCGCAGCAATCTGAAGCAACACACCTTATGCCATTCAAAGGAGAAGCCACACCAGTGTACAAAATGTGAATATAAAACTGCGGACATAGCGAACTACAGGAGGCATGTCTTACATCATTCAAAGGACAGGCCATATCCTTGCCTGTTGTGTAATTACAGTGCGGTTAGAACCAGCACATTGAGAATGCACATGTTGCTTCATACGAAAGAGAAGCCGTTTGAATGTCCAGACTGTGATTTCAAAACTGCATTTTCTGGTAACCTCAAATGTCATATGCTTCGACACAAGGAAGAGAAACCGTATAAATGCTTAAGTTGTAACTACCAGAGCAACCATATCAGTAATCTCAGACGGCACATTCGGTACAGGCATACAAAGGAAAAACGTCATCCCTGTCCGCATTGTCTTTATAAAGCAGTAACTGCAAGTGATTTAAAGAAACATGTTGTTTTACATCAAAGATGACTTTTTATTTTATGTCAGATTACATTATTTGTAAATATGAAGATATATTTTTGTTGTTCTAGTTGTTGTTATTTTTACACATTTACACATAAAAATATATATATTTGTTTCTATTTCTGCTTTGCTGAAGAATGAAAGAGGAACTTCACAAAATCTGTGGAGTAAATGTGACAACTCAGACATCCTAAGGAAACTGAGTTCCAGAAAGCGAATAACTTTAGGAAATAAACAATGGAAACTAACCATCTTAAAGACAGCCACATGAACATTGGAAAAAGGTGAGCTTAATATTCTCAGATTAACATAAAACGTTTCTATATATATATATTTACTCTCGAATTGGGATTTCTTATCAATTTAACACCACAAAATTATTTATCTCCAACATTTGCCTTTAATAGCAGATCAAGGATCCTCAGCCTAGGTCTTGGGGGCACCGCTGTGCCTGCCTGATATCATGTCATATGATGTTACATCTGCCTGTGAGCAAAAGTATGGCCACCCATGGTTAACATAACCTTTATTAGTGATTATCCTGACAACAGATTTGCTCTTCTTTGCTGTGGATTGACAAGTTTTCAATAAAATAACAATACATATTTTAATAAACATCTAATAATTGATTACAAGTATGAATGAATACTTTGAAAGTAGTAATTTACTATTTTACCAGAAACATCCTCCAACTTACTGGCCCACTTCTGGACACAAAACACCTGACCTTTTGGACTTCTTTATCACCAAAGGACTGAAAACTATACCACATTCAGTCAATACTAGCACTGACCTTTGCTCTGATCATTCCCTTGTGAATCTGCTGCTGTTGGATGAACCATGTGAGGCAATAAGAAAACCATCTCTTAGCAATGGAACAATGGATTGGGATAGCCACAGGGATAACCTGAACACTGCTCTTTCCATCCCAGTGTCTATCAAAACACAAGAAGAACTGGAGGAAGCTGTAGACATTTTCACAAAAAGCATCCAAGAAGCAGCTTGGACATCTTCAGTACCGAAACCTCGGACTACAGGAAATCTACCAAACTATCCACAATACATAAGGGACCTGATCAGAGCCAAGAGAAGAGCTCGAAAAGTTTGGCAGACGAACAGACTCCCATCATATAGACAGGCATTTAACAGACTAAACAACCAATTAAAACGACAAATACAAAAATTCAACCGAGAAAAGTATGACATATACATCAACAATCTTTCAACAGTCTATGGAAGCTTGTGGAGACACACAAAAAAGCTGCTAAAACACTGGCAGGTGTCAGCACCACTTCGTAAAGATGATGGCTCCTGGGCTGTGTCGGACACAGAAAAATCAGAACTTTCTGCAAATCACCTCTCATTAGTTTTCACTCCACATATTAATCTGGCTAACATTGAACACGATAACCTTGTACTCAACTCCTTGGACACTCCATTACAATTAACCCCTCCTCCCACCTCCTTTTCCCCATCTCAGGTTGCAAAACAAATTAAAATGTTAAAAAGAAAGAAAACCCCTGGTTATGACTTAATAAATGCTGAAGTGCTCCAGCAAATGCCCAGGAAAGCTCTGGTGTTTCTAACTACCATATTTAATTCTATACTGAGGACTGCCAAATTTCCTATTCAATGGAAGTATTCATACATATCCATGATTCATAAGCCAGGTAAAGAAATGTCTTCCCCTTCAGCTTATAGACCTATCAGTCTACTTCCTACTTGTGCCAAAATATTTGAAAAATTACTATATAACAGACTCCACACATTATTAACAGAGCAAGAAATTTTTCCCGATCATCAATTTGGATTTAGATCATTACATTCTACCACTCAACAGTTACACAGAGTCACAGATTACATAGCAACAGCACTAGAGCAAAAGATGTATGCTACTGGTGTATTTCTGGATGTTGCTGAGGCATTAGACAGGGTCTGGCACCAGGGACTTCTTTATAAACTTAAGAAAATACTTCCTTCCACTTACTATCTTATATTACAATCATTCCTCTTTGATAGATTTTTCTCTGTTCGACAAGGCTCTGAAATCTCAACTATCAGACCAATTATGGCCGGAGTGCCCCAGGTATCAATTCTTGCACCACTGCTTTACATAATTTACACACATGACATTCCCCTCTCCAGTGACACTTTGATAGCCACCTATGCTGATGACACTACTATTATCACAAGGCACAATGACCCCACACATGCTTCATATACTTTACAAAATCACTTGCAAATCTTGCACGACTGGTACAAACTTTGGAAAATAAAACTAAATCACAACAAATCCCAACACATAACATTTTCACTCCGACGCGAAAACTGCCCTCCTGTCTATCTTGACAATGAACATATTCCCCAATCTGACAAAGTACATTACCTAGGCCTAACATTTGACAGAAGGATGACATGGGGCCCACACATCACTGCTAAGCGAAAGACACTAAATCAACGATTTAGACTATTATATTCCCTACTGGAAAGTCGCTCAAAACTAAAGCTAAGACAAAAACTTAATACTTACACTTACTTACTAAAACCACTTTGGACATACGCATCACAAATATACGGAATTGCCAAAAAAACTCACATTCAGAAATTACAAATATTCCAGGCCAAAACCTTCAGAACAATTACTCAAGCACCTTGGTATGTTAGTAACATAACTCTCCACAAAGACTTACACATGCAAACCGTTGCAAAAAAGGTTTCACAACAAGCTCTATGGCCACCCCAATAGACTCATCCAAGACATGGCCAATAAAAACATGCCCGATAACATCCGCAGAAGGCTGAAAAGGAGTTGGATGAGAGATCTCCTTAATTAGCCTCAAACATGACTGAAGATAAACCACTGGGTTTTTCTCTTCCTCATGCCTATCATGCCCTTTCTCCTAGTCTATTTGTACAGTTATCTCATTCACTGGTTGTCAGTGGACATTGACAGTTGTGAATTAAAAAATAAAGATGAAAAAAAACTATTTTACCAGAAACATAGCTACAGACACACCCAATTTCCCTATTTTCTAACATTTTCAAACCTCTAAAGCGATTAGTTCAATCCAAATTTTAGATATTTTTTTTCCTATTTTACTACATTTATTAGTTTACATATTTTACCTTTTTTTTTCTCTCTTTCTTCCTTAGTCAATATATAGAAGTTGTTGGCTAATTTTCTATTATTATAATTGTACTTAATCAGGAGCTTGTTAAATTAAATGTAGTATTATTCCAGTGTAAATGACTTAACTCTCTTAAATTTACTGATAATTCTCTCCTATGAAATTTATAAATTTATCTGAAATAAAATAACATTAGAACAAAGAGATTGGGGAGCAGAGAAATAATAATTTTGAGCTTTTGAAATATTTATTTCAACAAAATCACATATATATCACTTCATTTTATTTTATTTTTTTGTACAGGAACAAAATTTAAATAACATTCTCAGTTTATTAGATGAGTATTATTCTTTAAATTTCCAATCATTTCATAGATTTGTACTATTTATTAAATTTTGCAAATAGTATCCAATGAAATAGACATGGGATTCTCATATATTTTATCTAATACAATTTCTAAAATTTGACAACTGACTATCTTTGAAATATTTAAAATTGTACTCCCGAGGACTAGTGAAAGACTTGGAGATCAGTTTTAATGAGAAAAATATATGGATCGAACGATTTTATGATCTTAGCCACAGATCTGTTAATATTGGTTTACTGACTAGAAATTGTCCCTGACCAATAATAATAATATAATTTCTCTAAAAACATTTGTTATATACAAGTGATTTCTCGACTATAAAAAGGGGAAAATTTACACCATGAGGGTGACATTATTTGTAAACTTCTTAGTTTTCAACTTTCAAAAATAACTTTCTGTTTCATAGATAATTAACTTCAAGTTTTATAGGGGCAAGGGCTAACTCGTGTGGATAGCACTGCGTGTTGCCTGGCAACCTGATAACCAAAGTTATACGGTACCCCTGTCCCGGGAAAACCCTATATAGCCTAAAAGGCAAGGAAGGGGAGAACGAAAAAGAAAAAAAAAAAAAAAAAACTTTGTTTTATAAACAAGCCATTCTCAATTCAGTCACTCCAATTGTTTTTGCATATGTCATTAAATAAGTTATTCTTGTTTTAGAGTGACATTAGGACTAGTTTTGTACACCTGCCCCAAAAGTTTTGAAGCTTCCCTTGTTCCCTTAAATTCAGAAACAATATTTCTGATGTAATTGGATCATTTTTTTCCTATGTTTTTTCCTTCTTTATTTTCTGAGAAATCTAAAAAATGTTTTTTCTTTGAAGACATAAAAACTAAGATCTTCAAATATAACTATATATTTATTAGTTAACATTTCGAGTGTGTATACCCATTTTCAAAACTTTCTAATTTAAAATTACTTAAATTAAATATCACAGTTTAATAACACCACAATAATATATTCCACATCTTTCTGCTAATGTCAAATACTAAAGGAAAGATGCAATTTTAATTCTTGACATTTGTTGAAAGACGAAGAATATATTATCGTGTTGTTATTAAATTGCGATATTCAAGTTATCTTAAATTAGGAAGCTTTGAGAATGGAGATACAATTATATTGGAAGATTTTTCCTACTTTCAAAGAAAAATACATTTTTTCAATATTGATTCAATTAAATAATTTAACACTAACTTCATCGTGGAGTTTACTTATTGGCAATTTTTATTTTTATTTTTAAATAATAAAAAGCATTTTAAGCACCAATACTACTAAAAAAGATTTGTTTTTCTCTATGTACAGGTTTCCTAATGTTCTAATTTTGTAGTTTTTTTTTTGTTTTTTTTTTTGTGTCCCTATTAGTTACAGCCATCAACAATCAGCAGACAAGCTGGAATGATAATTAGATGAGAAAATAATAAAATAAAATAAAAGAGGCTTGATTGGCTTACGGAAAAGCAGTATCAAACGGTATCCCTTTGTAGGCATGTATATATACTTAATTTCTGTTTTGATTTTGATATGAAACGCCATCTAAATAATTGCTATAATTTTAGTCTTATATTTAATAAGGCACAGTTTTTTCTTCCCGTATGGCTCCCATTTAATTTTCCTGTCTAATTTCAGTTCTAGTTATTGTACGGTCAGTTGGTGGAAATCAATACATTTAAGTAGACAGGAGTGCATATTTCTATTCATAGAGAAAACTTTATATGTTGGAATTTTTTATAATTTATATGAGAAATCCAAATTTAGCATCAATCGTGTATTGTTTGTAAGTGATACCTGTGAAAAATTTTCGTGTCTGATATTTTCTAGAGTTGACTATACTTACTAAAAGTAAATAAAAAAATGAATGGTTATAAATAAAGGGATCTGAATTATTATTATTTTTAAATCATCTAAATATCAATAATTTGTAACTTATTTATGATTTATTTTTTAATTTAATTTCAATATTAAAAAGTGTTTCTGAACTGTCCAAATTGTTATTGATTGGATTAATCATCAATTCAAAATAAATTATTTAAATAAAAATGATCCAATTACATTTAAAATGGAAAAAACTTCAGGATATACTCCTAGATATATTTTTAACAAATCGTCTTTCAAACATTCATTTTTTTTAAAACATTGTTTTGATTTAAAAATATCTTAATTTAAAATGTCTTATCGTATACTCAGTTATGCTTATAGACTCCAGTACATTATGTAAAATTGTCATAATATTAAAATAAGTCTGATCCTATTTTATAATACAGTATTGACATTTGCAAAGTACCCTTATTAATTAATTTATTACAAGTTAATGTGAAAATTGCTAATTAAACTAAGTACCAATATTTTTTTTATTTACACTATTTACACATAAATACAAACTGATCAGAACTAACGTTAGCTAACAAAATTATTAACGTTATTTAAAATATACGATGATATTTGCGAATTTTCGCTATAGCATAAGAAATCAGAGATAAACCGATTGTCCAAAAAATACAAGATAAAAATCCAAAATAAACTGTCGGATGCATGAAGTTGTATCCTTTGGATGCTATATTCTTGTAGCTGTCGACTGCTGGTGATACAGGAAACGCCCACACCCAGGACCTTACTAAATAGTGAGCTCCTTGAAGAGGCCAGACTATTCCTGTTTCATGAAAGGATAAATTATTACTCAAAATGACTTCATATATTTTTATTCTATTATTAATTCATGACTTTTTGTAACTTAAAAAAGTAAAACATCAAAAACGCCAGCTAAATGGAAAAAAAAATGGCATGATTAATAAAAAAAAAAGTAGACACTGAAAATGGATTAAACTTTTGGGAGTACCACAGACTCACCTCTTCTTTGGATAAATAAAACAGAACGTTACCTATAGGTTAATTTTAGATAGTTCTTCTGTTTAGGTATTATGCAATCTTCATTGTCGTTTTCAGTTTATTTTATTATTATATTTTTTGGCCATAAGAATTGTCAATGTCTTGGCCCTATTTTTCCAATATGCTACTTAAATTGTTACTGCAAAATGAATTAAAATTGAAACCGCAAAATAAATTTTGAGTGTAACTTAGTCTTCTTATCTCATATCACGACCCATTTATGAGTCATAGCCTACTCCAATAACGATTGCCAGTCCTCTCTATTGCGTCCCACCGCCTTCCAATTTATTAAACCAAGCAGTTGTTTAATGTCCATAGCCATACAATCCTCACTACGTAGCTTGAGAACATCATTCGTCTAGCACCATACAATCACTCTCACAAAGTTTTTAATGGGATCTCTCCCTGGTTCATTCTAATAACCTGACCCACCCATCCGAGTCGTGCGAATTTGATGAAGTTGTTTACTTTGACATCTTTATATATTGCGCTTAATTCAGCATTTATTTGTCTTCTCCAGGATCCCTGCTCACACACACCTCCATATATTCTACAGAGCACTTTCCTTTTGAATCTCAGAAGGGCTTGTTCTTGGCGTATAGTCATCACCCAACATTCTGAGCTGTATGCAAGTACAGACTTAATAAGCCTCTAGAAAAGATGCTGCTCCTTATATATTTTTGGAGCACAATGTGGTTCGCAGAAAGCATGTGTCGCTCTATTTCTTCTTGCATATTATTATGGTAATTGACTTGGGATCCTATGTACATAACTGCAACCTTTTGATTCGCTGTGTACCTAATGTGACATATCTTTCTGCATATTTCTCTTGTGGTTAAGCGCTCATATATATCACTTTAGTGTGACTTAGTAGTTACATGAAACTTGAACTTAAATAACTTAATAGAAGTGAGAATAAATTATCCATCTAAGGGCATTATCTTTATTTATTTACCATAGAAAATTAACACCAATACGTACAGCTAGAGATAATCACCTATCCTAAATTTGTTATTCTTTGTTTCTTGAATTTTTTACAATGGAAGGAGAAGTGTCATAGATCATCCAGGTATGTTAGACAGTATCCGCTCTAAGCTAGACGCCTTAAATGTAGAAATTTATTTGTTCTACCATGATTTATTATAAGCCTTAAGCTTTACTAGACTAAAGCAGTCAAGATGAAATTTAAATATAATAATAAGATGATGAACATAAAAATTATAATGTTATAGGGTTTTTTATTAGTCAGATTTATTGGAAACATGATCATGTAAGGTTTTACTTTCATTTAAATTTTTTCTCACCTCCTAAACTGAATACGGCCAATGTTCCTCCTATTCCAGCATAAGACACTAGCCGATCAGAGTCAAATAGCTCTGTTAATAAAAATCCTGTCAAAGAAAAAATTTGTTTGGTTATCTATATAATTTCACATAATCCAAAAGTAAAGAAAAATAAGAATTCTATTTCCAACTGTATTACCTAAAAAATTTGGAAATAAAGTAAACCACTTAAAAATGATTAGTTTGCATAGAAGTCAAATGTATTATATTTTTTAAAACAATGAAATTAAAAAAATAAAATAAATATGTATGTATAATAGATGTAAAAAGTAATAAATTAATCTTATGTTTTAAAAAATTCTATTAAAGTTTAAAAAACAAATTTTTTTTTCTCTAATAATTACTAACATACCATATGCAATACCGACTGCCTCGATTGAAAATAGTAAGACAAATATTTGACTTGGATCACCGAGCATTGGGAAGTCAAAATAATAGTAGAAAACGCTGTACATTATAATTTTCTGAAATGTCATCAGCACAATCTGGACACAAAGATGAGCAGTTACAACTTCCAGATAAGTCATACCTGAAATGGAATATAAAATATAATATCTAAATTTTTAATTAATAATTATAACTTTTTATTATTACCACTATAACCAAACAAGAACTCTCATATTAGATAAGTGTTCTTTTCCTTAATGCATTCGAATTATGCCGTCTTAGAGAGGCGAAAAGGAAAAAATACTGTCGAAAACCAAATGATAATGAGTTTTATTGAAGATATAGATTAAAATATCTCAGAAACTAAAAATCGGACAAACATATTGTAAGCAAGGAAATTATCCAGCATTTCATCCTCTCTGTAATGGGCTATTACTTAAAATTGTATCTTGATGCAATGCCTTGTTAGAGAGACGAAAAGGAAAAAATAGTGTCTTAAGCCAAATGATAACGAGTTTTATTGAAGATATGGATTAAAATATAAAAATCTGACTTGCATAATGTAAGCGAGGAAAATATTCCGTATTACATCCTCTTTATAATGAGCTATTAATTATTTCTATCGTGTGGTCGAAAGCAGATACCTTAGTTGTTTTTTTTTTTCATTTATTAAAAATATCAAAAGGCATGATACAGATATTCTTCTCTATTTACTTTTTCAATAGATTTTTACTTTCACTTACCTATTGAAAAGTATTGCGATAGTGAAAATTTTTTAATCTGTGTTTTCAATGGAAATACACGTTTTGAGGTATCCTGAGTCCAAATAACCAAGTCCTACAAAACCACAAAATGTTCTGTGTTTCTGTGTGAGTGTGTATTAGCTGTCTAGCTCAAAATGAAAAGTCATAGGAAACTGATATTACGTATTTAAGATAGTTAGGTATATGCCTTAGATATGTGATAGCAACTTTTTTCTTAAATTCGGCTAACTGGAAGTGCCACTTTATATTAACGGTGAAACACATTTTTACAATTTTCTCAAAAACAGTTCTAACGATTTAGATTAAACTCGGTGTATCATTGTATAATTAAGTGGTCTTTAATATCAATCAGGTGTTATCTCCATTGATGTCACTTTACAGGGCTTAAATGCCCAATGTTCATATACGTCTTCCTCTAAAGTACCTTTAATATGGTTTATTTTAAATAATTAATCATTTCATATTATTAAGAGTTATGAGAAAACGCTAAACATAAGTTTTGAAAGAATTTGATAATTGAGTAAAGGAGAAAAAAATAAAAATGCATATCCAGGTCGAAAATGAATCTCCGGAAATACTAGTCAGAAGGTATACGTATACGTATAGGCATGCAGTTCTAACATTCAGAGCATTGTCTACTTATACATTTTGATCTTTGAAAACAATTGACCTATTGTTGTTTGACTTTTCTATGAAAATTAGTTCATATATTCATGTATATATTTAATTCTACTAAACACTCAATGTTTATATCTGTTATATTATTCTATTATGGCCTATTATATTTTCATGAACAAGATTTTATATTTTCTTTTAATAGTAATAATTCTTGAAACATATGGTGTAATTGTAATTTAGTGTTGGAAAATATCAAATATTGACAAAAATTGAGCCAGAAATAAAAATGAAAAATACATAATTACTGGACCCATCATACAATTAATAAATTATCCTTTGTTTTTCCTTTTTCATACATATCACACCATAAAAATAAATAAAAAATCAAGGTATTTGGTGTCATGAATGTTATTGATGTAAAACAAATTTTTGATGATCGTGCCATTAAAACAACCATCATCTTGGATCAGATTTAAAAATTACAAATCTGTATACATATTTCTTTTTTCATAACTTCAAGAAACATTTATACCAAATTTGAAGGAAATCAAATTACTTATGAATAAGTTTATAAATTCATGAATACTGGAATCTAAACTTGCCTCATATGGATGTTGGTGAATGTGCTTGTTTCAGATGTCATTTTACTGGATTATATCCATCGAGATAACATCCAAAGTAAGGAATCGTGTGTGGCCATCATTAAAAAATTAAGTGATTTGACAATTTTATAACTCAGTGTGTGGTACCTATCCATCTATCTTTAGATTAGGAAATTTTTTATTAAGATTTGTTCCGGATAATATATCATTGGAAAATGGAGAATTTTAGGAAAAAAATATCTGATGTAGAAGGTGATGGAGAGAGGCAAAAAAATTATAAATAATAATTTTTGAAAACTAATATTATTTAACGTTAATCACATGTTTTCAAGGAAATTAAATGAAATTTACTAACTAAATGTAAACTTAAAATTTTTTTTTAAGTTTGAAAAAGTATTTAAAATTCACCTAATCAAGGCAATCTCATTGTTAAAAAAACTATTTCATTGTATTTTTGTGAAAGAAGAAATGAAATATCAAATCATTTCATGAATGTATAAAGTATATGTTTATAACCTTAAATACATTTACTGTAGTTTAATTATTCTAGATCTGATATTATATTTAAGTAATTAGGTATCAACTTCTTTCTTTTTAATAAGCCAATGTTCTTAAAACTTCTAAAGTATACCTGCTGCCATGCTACGTTCAAGGGTTCCAATTATTTTTTCCATCATGATTGCTCCAGAAGTAAATATCATGGTGAAATAAAAACAAAATCTGAAATCGAAACAACAACTTATAATTCTGATATTAAAAAAAAATTAAAATGTTTATTTCAATTTAAGGGAGATACTAATGCCACATTTTTTATTTAAGAAAGTAAGAACATTAAAAATGTTTACTAAAAATGGAAACAAAAATTAAAATCATGGATATTATAAATAAATGAATGAGACTAAATACTGAAAAAATAGAGTATAAATAATATAACTTTTCTTTAAAATGGTAGTATGCTATACTTACGAACAAAAAAATCCTGGTAAGCCACTGTGTGCAAAAAGAGGATTCTTACCACCAAATATTGGGTCCATGAACTAAAAATGAAAAATATTTATTACTTTATAATAAAGTAGAACAAATTTCAGGTATATCTGTTGCTATGGTTAGTTATTAATAATCTATTTATAACACTGTGATCTTATTGAGGTAAATAAGAAGTGGAAATGAGAATAAGGCTCTATAATATTAATAATAAAATGCCTTAGAGAACTTGAAGATTTGATATCGATACCAACAATAATCACTTCCTATATTCTTTGCATCTGTCGAAACTCCCATCATAGACCAGTCTTAACACTATAACAGTTCCCAGCGATAGAGTATGGAACAATTCAAGATCCTTTCCCTCAATTTATTGAATTCAATTTAAACCAAAATTGGAACGATTAAATGAAGTATTTGATTAGCTTCTGATATTTGAATTATCCGCAAATAAAGTTTCTTTTCCTTTGTAACTATTTTGTCTGAAATTTCGACGTGATCCAACGTACCTTATTCATGGTATATGAACAATTCCTATTGATGAACAACAATTCCTATATGAACAATTCATGAATAACAATTCCTAAATACCTAATTTGATATTTGGTCTTTTTACATAACACTGGCAACATACCAATATTAAACCTTTACTATCTAATTGGCACTCTTGAAAGATTAGTGAAGAATTAAGAGTGATTAACTATAAATAAAGAAGTGTGCAAAGGAAACAAAATAGCAAAATGCTGAAATGAAAAGTTGTAAAATTTAATTGTCAAAAGTCTCAATGCTAATACTAAAAAAATAAAAAAAACTAACAGTATGAACAAACCAATTTCTTAAAGTAAAATTGATAATGAGATACTTCAAATGTAGAACAGAAACAAATTTATATGTATTTATAAGCACCAAACTATTTTATAATAGCGATAAACAATTAAATCTCTATTAATATTATTTTATCAAAATATTTAAACAATTTAATAAACCAATGAAACTGATCAAAATATTCAATTTAAATGTTTATAAAGTTATTTGGAATGAAGAAATTTTTAAAAATTATACGAATTTTAATTTTAGAGAAACTTTTATTACTTCGGAGTATTTATTTACCTTAATATTTATTAAGGTAGGAATAGTAGGAATGAAAGGAGCTTATGTCTGGTGCAACACCGATTTTGGGCCTCAGTGAAATAATATATCTGGGGGTTAAGGTCTTGTTCCAGTTTGATAATGAAAAATTATTCTCTAACTTCTTACATTGTGGGCACAATGCATCACCAATATAAATTATGAATGATTTAATAATTTAACACATGATACATTTAATTTTATTTTGCTATTCAGCCGTATTGCTCTCACTTTTAGCACGTACACATATTGGTCAGTGGTTCAGAGCATAAAAACTTCATAGGGATTCATTCCTCACTAAGTTTAACAATTTTAGATGCCTATATTATTCACCATAATGCTATCACTTTAATTATTTTTGCTGGGTATAGTTCACGCAATTTTGGGAGGAGGGATCGAGTGGGCTAACGCGTTTGCAAAACACCCGTTGCACGGCAACCAACTACATGATAAACCGAAGTGTGCAAGATATAAAAGGCATAGAGATAAAGGCAAGGAAGGGGTGAACAAAAAAAAAGAAAGTTGAAACAATTTAGAGGCTATGCTGGGCAAGTATGTTAATGAAGCTCACTTTAACATTATTAAGTCTAGTGGTGCCAGTCCTAATCTGAGTTAGAGAAAGCTGCCAGCTTAAGCAGGTTTCACTTGAAGGAATAAATGGACGAATCGTTTTGTGAACTCACTGAACATACTAAGTAAAATTAAGTGAAGAACCTTGATAATGACATAAACACAATAAAGAAAATAACTGATTGAATTAAATTAATTTAAAGTGAACTGTGACTAAAAGCATGAGAAAGATAGCTTGGTATGGGTCTAAACAAAAGAACATCTGCTAACATTCAGATATGAAATGGAAAAGGATTAAATTGAGCGCAAGGCAATGAGGGAGAAGTGCAACCTGTTTATGGCAATCTTGATTGACCAATGGTATCTTGGACAAATTTCACGATAGTTTAATTCAATTCAATATTTTATAGAATACTTTATTTTCAAAAACCATAAGGCGTGACTCTTCACTTAATATTAGTGACAGTAGGAAGGATATAATATAGTAGAATTATAAAATTATCTTACGAAATAGAGAAAGCACTTGTTTTTAAATTATTGAATTGATTTATTACTAAGTTAATTGAAAAATATCTCAGATGAATACAAGAATAAGGCAACCTTAACAGTTTATTCATTAATAAAATAATAATCATTATTCTCTAAATAGAAACAAATAAAATAGCTTAAAAATTATGTTATACCTTCAACGGGGACTTGCCAAATTCATGATGTGAAGTTACTCCACAGGAAGCTGCGAGTTCTTGAATGAATTTTTTCATATCATCAAGCAATTGCTGCTTGATAAAATTGCCAATGATGTAATCTGAAAAAAATGTTATTACTTGTCAAGGCAAATGAGAAATATTGGATTAAAAAAATTAATGAAATTTAATGCACAACACAAAGTTTAAAAATCTGGTGCGGTCACAAAACTTCCACTTTCTTAGTAGAAATAAGTATTTTCAGACAAAGAAAAGTGAAAGTAAAAATTATAGATGTCACGAAACATTATTTAAAACAATTACCATATGTTTTTCATAGCCATCTAATGTATTATATTTATTTTGTTTGACACTAGCCATTTTATGGCTGTATATTTCAATAATTTATTTTGTTATAGTAAATAATTAAGTATCATGAAATATTTTTAGCCGGACAACAGTGCCACTAATAAAAAAGGCCACTATATTTATTTATATTTCATTGTGGGTACTTTTATTTGTTTATGTACTGCTATATATACAAATTTTTTGGCAAAAAGGACCAAGTAGTCCACTTGCCGGACTAGTTTCCCGTAGCAGTACCGGTATGTACAAATTTTAATTTTTATATCGCTGTATTCTATACAATTAAATATTAAATAATACCAACGATAGCATTTATGAAAACCGCACACAGAAAAACTATCTTCAGTATATAATTTCAGTTTTGTATGACTTTTCGTTTTCGAGCTAGACTTTTGAGATACACACACACAGACCATTTTGCGGGACTTGGTTATTTGGACTCAGGGGATCTCAAAACGTGTATTTCAATTGAAAACTGAAAATCAAAAAGTTTCACAATTGCAATACTTTTCTTAACTATATATTTCATATATAGGTAAGTGAAAGTAAAAAACGCTATAAATAATTACATTATGGTATACTTTTTTAAGTAGAATTAAAAGCCAATATAACAAAGTTTTTTATATTTATTTTTGCACAATGTTTCTGCTTTTTACAGCAATCCAATATTCAGCTAAAACACAAAAATACAAATTTATTGATGTTAATTTACTTTTAATTTTATTTAAAAAATATCATGGCACACTATGGTTCATTATTTTCCAATGTGTGTAAAACACCAAAAAATTGAAAAATTTATTGGATTTTTTTGCTTTGGTGTGGCCAGCTACCATTTCGAAACAGAATGGTTAGAATATTGGATGATAATGGCAAATTCCAAGGATCATTCTTGTGCAACCTATAACCTATGACAAATATAAAAAAAATCAATTTAATAGTCTATTACAGTCAAGGATGGCGGACTGATAGGATTTAAATGTAAAAAACACCGTTTTTTTACCGTGCAGTCTGGTCCGTTATTAAAAATAATAAACCACAATTCTAAGCAGTTTTAGTTTTCATTATTTTCTTTCTTTAATGAGTTTGATCACATTCTGTCACAATTAAGTATATTAGTAACAGTGATACAAGAGTTCAATCACATCATATTTACAATAAATAAAAAGAAATTTTAATCAAAATAATAACTTAAATACTGGCATCTTTACATACAATATTTACAAACATTCATTCAGGAAAACTCCGAGCTAAGACTTTCCCCCTACCTCTGGAGAGAAAACCATAACTACAAGAGATCCCAGCATTTCCTTCTCAGCTGTGTCATTAGTAGTTTTATTTTTCAAATTTTAAAAAAGGATTTCAGTTAGTTCACAAAATTGATATGTCACACAACAATGGAATCAGACCACATCCCCCCCAGTCCTACTGCAACTCTGAGAACCACTTGGGCTTCACAATTCAAAGAAAAAATTTCAAGTTTTTGGCTAAATAAAAACCTTTTTTCTTTATTATTTAAAAAGTGGCCTCAGTCTTAAATACGATCTTTATCAGTTGAATGCTATCACAGCCCACATTTATATGATTTTTTTTTCCATGCACAATTAATTAATGCTTTATTCTTTGGATAATAAATAACTTACTTGACATATCCATTGTGATGGCGACTTCACTAGTTTCAATAGTTTCATCCGTCAACTCATGCATATTCAAGTTAAGCCTCTCTATGACAGCTTCGGTGAAGTTGGGCTGGATATATACCATTCCCCAAGCTTTGTTTTGCTCGATATCTTGTTTCGCTTCCGTGTAACTGTACTTATATACCTGAAATTGGTGATAATATGCTGATTAATAATGATCTTTGATGATGATATCCTACAATTTTGCATAGTAATGAATTCTGTATTATTTTCATCTACTTAAAAATAAAGGAAGAATCAGCAGTAATTAGACCAAAGTAAAAAAAACTCATGAAATAACATATCTTTTATCTGAAGTTTATATTATATTCTTACTGCAGATGAATATGGTTTACCATATGTCAGCCTTTATTAAGGTTGGGAGGTAGACAGATATTTACACATTTTTTAAAACGTTAATGTAGCTAGGATATAAATATATAGTAAGAAGTACGAATTAAAGTAAGAATTTTAAGTAAGTCTGGTTACCGAAATTAATTCAATCAGATATAAAATGACCTCAGAAAATTAAAAAGATATTAATACTTACAACATCAAAGGTCTCGTTTAATATTTGTGCGTACTGGCAGGTAAATGGCTTTGCTATTGTACAATTAAGATCACCAGCATATGGATGCCTGTAGGAATTACACAAATCAGAAGTACTTGAAGAAATTTCATCTGATAAAATTATGAACTTCAATTTTATCGGTTGCCTCCCAAACGAACTTGAGTAGATAAACGATTGCATCGCAGGCAGTAGAAGCAAAAAGAACATTATTCTGTAAGAGAAAATAGAAACTGAATCAGTTGTTGATATTAAGAAAATATAACAACTCAAATCACATTCCTTATACTATCAGAATAGAGTGTGCTGATGTCACATGTAACTTTAATATTAAATTTTTTTAGAACTACCCACTTATCTCTTTTTAATGCATAAAAAAGAAACTACCTCCAAAGATTAGTGGTATAAATTCAAACATAATAATTTTTTTTTTCTAACCTCCCAAAATGTTTATTTAATCAATTTACATATATAGTATTACATAACAATACAATATATACAAGTAACAAATTCCTTCTACTGCCCGAGGGCATTTTAAGGATTGGGGATCGCTAAGGGTCACATTTGTGACAGAAGGCCTTGTGACTTTCATTGAACGGGGAGGGACTGTTCTGCTAATTATTTATTATTTACAATATTTACACATTAATGGGTTTGGACCTCAGAATCCAGACCACATCCTTTGGCGAGTATGTCCACCAAAGGGAATTTACCTTGCCACCTGCCAGGTCTGGGGGTGGTGAGATCTCATTAAACAGTGGGTTTGCACTGTAGTCACGCGTGCACTGAAAGATGTTCCTCAGGTTGTTCCTCTGACTAATCAGGGCGAGGATATGACGTGGTGGTCTCCTGATGAGCGAACCTAGGGATGTTCTCGTTGGCTAAGTTCTGGACAGTGGTGGTGATGACATCCACCGCATCGTTCACCTCTTCTACTGTCTGGCACGGTGTTAGCGCCGGTAAAGTGGATTCAACGCAAGACCTGTATCCTTTCCAGTTGGCCTTGTGAGTAAGTATTCATTTGCCGATGGTTTGGCGGGTGTGCCCTCGATCATGTAAAGCACAGGCCGGTGATCCGACGGTCCGTCCATACGGAAGCGCTTGGCAATCCGTAATGGTGTGCAGATACTGGTTAATAGCAGGTGCAGCGTTGATGTCCAATCAGGTCGGGCTGAATGCCGGAAAGTGTGTACACCTGGGTGGAAAACAGCCAACCTAGTCTTGTTGATATACTTACCCAGTGGATTGTCGCTACCACACAGCCAGGAAGAGTGTCGAGTATTGAAGTTACCAAGGACTACATGCTGACTCGTCACCTGGGCATCTTGTAGCAACAGCTTAACAGATGTCAAGTCCAGCTCTGGGTCTCCTGTAGACACAGGTGAACGTGAATCGACTTTTAAGTCGCACGTCAACTGTGAGTGAGTTCCCTTGATTGGTTCCACTGGGTTCGGGATGGATCTCGAAGGTACATCATTTCTGACCAGGATGGCTACTCCCTCTCGAGACCCTGGTGCACACACCTCTCGGTATATAGTGTACCTCTGGAAGCATGGACCAGTCGAGGTGTGAAGCATGGTGTCTGTCAGCACCACCACTGAAGGTCTATGCTGCTGAAGAAGGAGCTCGATTTCAGCCTGCTTCTGGAAGAAGCCTCTGGTGTTGAATTTCATGACGAGATGATTAATCATGATGCTTCTTCGTCATAGCATCTAGTATGCGGGCAACTATATCCATCAGCTTGTCCATTCTTGTCAGCATCGTCATCACCATAGAAGTCAGGGAGGCATCGGTACTTGTTGAAGGCTGAGGCGATTGCGTTGCTGGAGTCTGTTCTTGGACTGGGTGGTGTGCTGGTGGTGGGGAGAGTTTCCTTCTGATTGGACCGGCGCTCCCCCGCTGTGCTGTATGCCAGGCCATCCTGGACCCACTTACTCTGTTTTCTGGTATTTCTTTTTGTTGGTGTTCCTTTGGTGATTTCCCTAATTTTCTTCACCAACTCCTGTCTCTTCGAGCATTCTTTGTAGGAGGTGGGGTGGGCACCTTTATAGTTCCTACACCAGGGAGGTGCTATCTTCGGGCACTGTTCAAGTATGTCCATATTCTTGAGAATTTTGGCACTGTGCTGGGGCCCCATCTTCTTTAAAGATGCTCACACGAAATTTACACTGCGATATGTGATACAGTTTAGCGATGTCTGTCAACTTGACCAAGTCATCTGTAATTATCTGGATCAGCTCGATAGGTCTTGATGGTTCATTCGGGTTGTATCTCTTTGTGAGTCTTCAGGCGAGCCTGAATCCTGGTAATCTGGTTTTCAATTCCTCGACAGGGAAATCAATATCGAATCCATGAAGCACATATTTTTGAAATCGTTTTGTGCCTCTGGAAGCAAAACTGTGAAATTGTACCCTATTGTCCTGGTGCAATAGTAAAGTGGCTTGAAAATGGTCACTCTCGGTGTTGACATACACCAGAGTTTCTTTTGAGGAAGAATTGATAGTGAATAATGTTATATTCTTCTTAATCAGTATATTTTTCAGCGTTGCCTGGGCTATCGGGAGTGCTATGATGATTGGCGGCGGTCTGTTTTTCTCCGGTAGATTCACTCTCAACACGGAATATTTGCTGGCAATTAGGATCTGGGAAGGCTTTTCCGGGACGGTACGGGAGGGAAACGTGTGGCATTTGGCTACTAGGGCGTAGTCTTCATTATCCGATCCAAGGCCTTCGCTGTCAGTTTCGTGAATCCTCTTCCCACTTTTATCTCCGGAGGCCTCAGGCTCTGGAATCTCCATAGGAAGGTTCTCATCCTGGTTCGCCATCACGAATGAAGGAAGGAAGTCTGCTTGTCAGTGCGACGTTGCCCTCACTCGAGAGAGTAACTGCTGAGGTTTGGCCCAAGGGACAAGTATGGGCCCCAGCAGTATTAAAGGGCGCAAGCTTAACAAGCACAGGAAGCTAATGGTGGTCTCACATCACTATCAAAGATAGCAACGCCAAAAATATTTAAAACAATATTAATATAAACAATATTAATGTAATACTTGTATGAAACATAATAAAAGAATATAGTAAAAGTTATAATAAAAGAAAAAAATGAAATATTTGGGAATAAAGGATAAAACTATGGATTAGTTAACTATTATTAGCAACATTTATTATTTTTTTTTATAAGAACTTTAATAAAAAATGTGATAAGGTACACTGTAATAACTAGGAGCAATGATATTAGTTTCATTTAGATTGGATGCTTTGCATACTAGCATAAGATTATTTATAATCATATCATATTGTCAGCACCATGTTAAAGTAATAAATGTTAATCCATCCAACGTTTCACATTTTTTTAAACATAGTTAGAAGTACCCCGACCATGAAGGCCTTTTGTGTGATTCACATTAGCATGGTGCCGACAATATCATTGAATCCAACAACTCAAAAACTCATTTTTGACAAAACAAAAAACAAAAATGATTGGTAGGCCAGTTTTTTCTGTTTTGTAATAATTTTAATTATATTTGATAATGACCTTATAAAATCAATATATAAACTTAGGTTCCACTACTATAAGTTATTCCACTATCATCACTGCAATTATTCACAGAAATACAAAGTTAATTAAAGGTTGGCAAATAAGTCCTTTTGGTTTTTCTGTTGATTTTTATGTCACTATGATACACTTCTTATCTGATGAATTAATCCTTAAGGTGCATTGTTTATCCTGTTTGTAATGTGTCAACAACTATACCTGTTAACTATTGTTGATAATAGCTTAGTATTGTGTTTGCTATTGCACTGTGAATATGGAAGAAAAATCATTCATTATCAGCACATTTTGTTGTATTATTTTTAAAAAAGTAAGCGTGCTGCAGAAGTTCATAGAAAAATTTACAGTGTTTATGGGGATGATGTCTTAACCGAACGCACATGTCAAAATTTGTTTGCCAAATTTCATTCAGGAAATTTTGATATCATTGATGTTTAATGGTCTGGTCGCCCTCATGAAATTGAAACGCAATGTTAAGGCCATTGTTGATCAAAATCTCATCTAATCAGTGCGAGAGATTGCTATGGCTCTGAAAGTGTCGCACACAAGTGTAGAACACCATTTGCACAAGCTCGGCTATGTTTGGGTCCCTCACTCTCTAACCGAAGTCAACTTGGCAACACACATTTCTGTTTGTGATTCACTACAGAAACGGCAACAAACCGACCCATTTTTTGAAAAGATTGGCAACAGGAGATGAAAAATGGATATGTTATGATAATGTAGTCTGTAGAAAATCTTGGGGACCTAGTAATGAGGCTCCTAGAAGAATGTCAAAACCCGGATTCCATCCAAAGAAGATAATGCTTTCCATATGGTGGGATTTCAAGGGCGTTATTTTCAATGAGCTTTTGCCATCAGGACAAACAATTGATTTAACTCTATACTGCTCACAATTAACAAAAATGGATCAATTAATTAAAAATAAACGCTCAGAACTGGCAAATCGGAAGGGTGTTGTGTTCCACCAAGACAACGCTAGGTCCCATACCTCATTGGTCACTCACAATAAATTATTGAGCCTTGGATGGAACGTTTTGCTCCACCTTCCCTATTCACCAGACCTAGCTCCAAGTGACTATCACATATTCCACTCTCAGCAGAACTCCATGAATGGAAAGAAATTCCAAAAGGAAGGGAACATCAAAAACTACTTGGATCATTTTTTAACAATAAACTTCAGACATTCTATGAACATGGCATTATACAGTTAGTGGAAAGATTGGAAAAAAAATCATATTAAATAATGGTCAATATATTGTAGATTAAAATAAAGTTTATGTCTATAATACATTGAGTTTTATTTCACCCCGAAAAACCGAAAGGACTAATTTGCCAACCCAATATCATTTATCAACATATTTTTAAAAAATTTTTTGACATGATTAAAACAAATACTCTTGTGATATAAATTGTCTATTTAAATACCTACACAGTATTTCTTTTCATCCATATTATATTTTTCATGATTTGTGCCTTCACTCGATTCCAATTGAACATTTCATTGTTTCTGAGGGTCAATGGTGGTGTTTCTTTGGTATTTTTATTCTGGAAATTTTAAGCATAAAAATAAAATAAATTGTCACCATCATGTATTATTTTAACAATTAAACATAAAGATAACGATGATATAGTATCAATATACCTGGAATATTCATTAATAATTCAAAATTTTGTGTTAAAAAAATATATATATTTAAAGAGAAATAACAAAAGTATTTAATTCAAAGTAATTGACAAATTATATCACACATTTCCTCTATCTTTGGCTGGTTCCACATATTACTATATGTAGAGGGCTATACCTGTGCAGATAAACAAGAGCCTGAATGACCACTTAGGAACAATGAACCTGTACAAGAGAGCCGAGAAGAATAAAAAACAAAACAATTCCTTGTCATCTGCACAGATGAGCATCCCTCTGAATGGTTCGCCTGACATTTGACATTAGGAATGAGAATACCTAGCTTAATCAAAACCTGATTTTTTTTTCGTTTATCTAGTGTTCCAGATATAACCTGTTAATGTCATAATCCCCAAATATATTATTACAGTAAGGCTCGAAATTGGTTTTGTACCAATCTAAGCTCCTGTCATGCTCAAATGCCTTGAATGAAGTACCATTCGATTCAGAATATCATGGGGTTATCGAATCATACTCTCTACTTTTCTTTCTGAAATAAATAAAGTCGAAGTAAACATTTTGCTAGCCTTCAATAGTGGAATGGTGGTAAATCGGTGGATCGATATGGGACAAATTGGGATTTGAAGATTTTGATGTGGACACCAATACATGCATTTTCAAGTCTAAAAATGTATCAGTTACGAGATAATGCATGGCAAAGTGTTCACAACCAAACAGCCTCATGTTAATTATAATGCTGCCATGGGGATACATGTCTCATGTCCTTGACTTGGAGGTTCTTATGATCGAGAGAGGAGTTTATATTATTTATCAAAGATGTTTTTTTTTCTGTAAGCTATATTATCTTTACTTCTTCATCAAATCCCAGGATTGTGCCATAATTTTGAAAATAAGAATTGATTTCTCAATGTTATGATATGTTGCATTATTTAATTTTGTTATTAATTAGTCATTTAAACACTGATCAATATACTGTGCGAAATATTGTGGGCCATCTAGTAATAATATTAAAACATAAAAAAAAAAATTGGAATGGGCAGTGTTTTTTTTTTTATTGTCTAAACCACTCCACTAATCATGATTCTCGATGTTACTCATTACTCATGGATGGGTCTACAGGCTTCAATATGTAACAAGTATTATTTTTAATTTAAAAACAGGGCACAAGCCGACAGAATAAACAGTACCTGGTGTGGGGAGTGGGTGAGTAAGGTAATGTGCTCTTTGCTTTAGTACCCAAAGTTAAATAATAATTTATTCTGCTGTATCAACTATGGATCGAATCTGGGTTCGGATGACCCTCCTGGGGCACACTCAGCCTCTATACAATGGGTACTCTTAATAAATAATTAAGGAGAAAACTAGGTAGTTGAGCATAACTGTTGTCAAAGAAACAGTACTTCCTTAGAAAGTACTGAATCAGAGACCCTTCATGGGTTGTAAAAGATACAGCCAATCATAAGAAAAAAATATAAATGAAAACTGTGCTTACCATATTAGTTGAGGCATATTCGATCTTTTCTTTGTTCTGACTCAGCTTCAGAAAGGCTTCCTCCAGCGTTTGCACTTGCTGTTGGATTAAGATATTCTCAGGTGTGTCTTCGCATAACAACCTGCCTTCCCTCATCAGACCTATCTACTGGCAGTAATTTAGACATGAATGTCAAAATGGCACATCTTATCAAAAATTATATATTAATTATATTTTAAAACTGCATATAATTGAAATTTTATATATACTTATAGCTATTTATTTTGTGTTTTATCCGAAAAGTTTGAGGTTCGTTCAGGTTTAAAACAAGATGATTCTCTTTCATCTGTCCTGTTTAATTTGGCATTTGAACTTGCCATTAGGGAGGTAATGAGTACCTATAAAGGATTGAATACCCGTGCTATGCAGATGATTTGGTCCTGTTAAACAAAGACACGGAAACTATAAAACTAAATATGACAATGTTAATGAAAGAGAGTAAAGGACTAGGGTTCAAAAGAAACACGGATAAGACAAAATACATGGTTAGCTGCAAAAATTGTGATAATTCAGGTGATATGGATATAGAAAGGAATGCTTTTGAACACATAGAGAAGTTTAGGTATCTAGGGTCTACGATAACTAGAAAAATAAAATTAAGAGGAGATTAAGGTTATGATGAAGACGGGAAACGCTTGTTATATTTACAGAACTACTTAGCTCCCGTCTCTTGTCCCGGAACTTAAAAATTAGAATCTATAAACCCATCATTCTACCTACAGTTCTTTATGGATACAAAATGTAGTCGCTTACATCAAGGAATGAGCAACGTCTTAAAGTTTTGAAAATAAAATATTGCATAGGATAATCGGATCGAAGAAGGATGAGTTAACTGGAGAGTTTATATGGTTATAAAACATCGAATTGTGTGAATTGTATCTGGTCAATATAATTGAGGTGATTACATAGTGGCAAATTAAATGGGCTTGTAAAATTGTTGGACTTAGTAACGAAATAATTCCCAAAATATTAACTATTGAAGGAAGCTAGTTCTACATATCAGGGCGGATAAATATTCAGGACGCAGTCTTTTAAAAAAATTTTTTTTATCTGTGCCAATCAACCCAAACATGTGGGTCCTCTTCAGGGAGTGGTTCGAGCACTGAATGCTTTCAAGTACTCTTTGCATGAAACTGCAGGAGATTTTGCAACAATACACCATAAAAAAAATGTCTGCTGATAGGGACAAGACTCTGAAACAGCATATTTGGTGTTAACTTGGTTTACTTAAATAAATCTCTACAGAAGTCTGCAGTCACCAAAAACTATCTTCATTAATTATTAATGTTTTATATTTTATAAAAGTTAATAGTAATGTTAAAAATAAAAATAAATATAATCTAATGATCTTGACCATTTTTCATTGAGATATGTACAGTAATTTTTAATCAATTTCTCTAGAATTTTTGTAATATTGTATAGATGAATAAAATCATTTACCTTGTGAGCATTTCTCGCTTCTTCTATGTAATGGGTTGTTATAATAATTGTTCTTCCTGTAGAACTGAGCTTGACCAAGTATTGCCATATACTAAAACCAACAGTTGTGTATTCATGTTATAAATAATAAATGTTATAAATTTAAATATTAAATACAATGGTTATCACTACACTTGTTAACTAAATAAATATATTGTACATTATTTTTATATAGAAAATTGGAATTAAATTATAAAATTACAAATTTAAGTAAAGTGTTGAAATGTCAAAAAACATTTTTTTTTTTTTTTAAGTGTACATAATGTCGGTGTTCTGTCAAAACAGAAAATTCAGTGAATCTTTAACTTGCATATTAGTCAATTCCCTTATAAATCCTCTAATTTAGCAATGACGAAAACAATACCATTATCTGAATTTTCTTATAGAGTATGCTCTCCTGAAAATTCGTGAATTAATTCGACCTTTTAATAAAACTCCGGAAATATGTCTAATAACTACAATGGCATCTTTTAACATTAATTAGCAGTAATAATTATAAATATATTTTATTATAGTGCAGAAATTGTTGACTGTTAATTCTTATAAAAGAACTCAGTTGGGGATTGCAGCCATAGGAAGTGCAAACAAATAAATTATATTTATTTTCTTTGTGTTGATGTCTCAACGTAAGTTTCAGGCCTACATCAGGGCAGCTCGTTCATAGGATATCGGACGAGTAACTGTACTCGGCTGATTGGCTACTTATCTAATGTCCTTTGAACGCGCAGCCCTTATAAAGGCCTGAAACTTAGGTTGAAACTTCGTCACAAAGCAAATAAATATAATTTATTTTTATGTACTTCCAGTAACTGCAAACACCAAGCATATATTTTATTAGTTGGACCATGCAAATAATTCTGATGGTATATTGGTCAGTCAACAAATAGTAAGATAATATGGAAGTAAGCAAATGCAGTAAGTTTTATGAAAGAGAAATTAATATTTGTTGTAAATTGAATAAATTTCAAATCATAACAAATATAATGAAGAGAAGAATAGTTGGGGTGGTCAGTCAAAAAGGAAGGCAAAAATAAATGATAATATTTATTTTTACATATGCCGACGTTTCGACCTGAAGTTCAGGCCTTCATCAGGGCTAAGAAAATAACCAGATAACAAGGTATGAGAAACATAAGTAGTGATGGTAAAAAAAAAAAAATAAATATAAAGTAAAGTTAAATTGTTAGAATAATGACTAAGAACTAAGAAATAAATAATAATAACCATTACAAAGTGTGGAATGATGAAGTAGGCGTAATAAAAAAGGGTGACATAAGTGTTACAATGGGAATCTTAGAATAAAATGTAAAACATAAAATATTTCAATTTAATCAATAAATTTCAATAAGCTGTATCTTTGCTAAAAATTAACCGATTTCGATGACTTTTTTTTTCCTTTTGTAGGGAGTTTAGTAATCTTTTATATAATCATGGGTACAACCAAGGGAAAAGTGTGTAATTTTTTAGTTATTCGCAAAATAAAGTTTGTCTTCTTTCATAACTTGTTTGCCTGAATTTTCGGGGTGATTGAACTATTTTGGCCGCCTGAAGGAGAAAGAAGCCTTCGAAATTGGAGGCTCAATCTTGAGATTTGGTGAAGAATTAACGATGATATGGCTTGCCCATCAAAAACCCCATCGATAAAGAATATAAACTTCTCCTGTCTGGATCATAGAGATCTCAAGTCGACATAATGAGACATGTATTCAATGACAGTACTATAGCTCACGTAAGGTTGTGTGGATGCAAACACTATGCCTTGCGTTATCTCGAAAATAGTACTTTTTTGGGCTTAAAAACGCAGTCTTGATGTACGCATCAAAATCTTCAAGATCCAATTGGTCCCGCATTGATCTACAGACCTGCCACCATTCCAGTATTGAAGCCTAGCAAAATGTTTGTAGAGTATATTGTGTGTATAGTAATTTATTTTAGAAAGAAAAGTGGAGAATACGATTCGTCATTCCCCCGTAAAATTCTGAATCCAACGGTACCCCATTCATGGTATTTGAGCATGACAGGAGCTTATATTTGGTATTATACTGATTTCGAGCCTTATTGTAATGATATATGTGTGGATTAACAGCTATATATAAATATGAATATATTCTATTAATGCTAGATGACTCCAGTAAATAAATCGCATAGTAGGTTGGTCAGTGAACAAGTGATAATTAATATGGAAATAAGTAAATACAATGTATTATAAGAAGGAGGAATCAATTTCATTCAAAACAAATAGCTAAAATATCTTCTCCAAAAATGGACTGATTTCGCATCTTTTGAATCATCCACCAAGCAAATTTTCCATTTCTTTATTCCTTTTTTTCCCTATATTTTCTGGGTTATGTTCATTTTTCACACATGAAGGAGAAGAAAAGAAATGATGGCTCAATTATCGGATTTGATGAAGAATAAACAAATATGGTGTACCGACAAATAAATACCTTTGAGAAATAATATATAGATATTTCTTCTGTTCATTTATCCTAATTTTGGTGTCTTGAGGTTTTATTTTTATATAAATTAGGCCAATTATCACCAAACATTTTATTGATACGTTATTTAATTCGACGTTTCGACCGTACTAAGGGCCATTTTCAAGTCTGGAAAATTGTAATATCATTATTAGTTAACATTCACAATTACAAAAAGAATTTCTTATTAAACTTAAATTTCTTAATTAACTTGTCTATGTCATATTATTTTCGATACACATAAATTTATACAAATCTATACATAAAAAGTATACTCTTTTTCTTATAAAAAAAAACCTTACATGTATGTAACTTTAAACTTTGTTTTTAATGTAAGGTTTAATGTTTAAAGTTATGTACATGTAAGGTTTTTTTTTTTTAAGAAAAAGAGTATACTTTTTATGTATATATTTGGATAAATTTATGTGTATCGAAAATAATATGACATAGACAAGTTAATTAAGAAATTTAAGTTTAATAAGAAATTCTTTTTGTAATTGTGAATGTTAACTAATAATGATATTACAATTTCCCAGACTTGAAAATGGCCCTTAGTATGGTTGAAACGTCGAATTAAATAGCGTATCAATAAAATGTTTGGTGATAATTGGCCTAATTTATATAAAAATAAAATATATAGATATTTTGAATTTGAAAACAAGACTTATACAGGGTAGCAGGGGTATGCCTGTACCAAATCACCTTTGATTTAATTATTTTAGGTAATATTTTAAATCTAATAATAATAAAAAACAAAAATGATCGTATTACCTGTAGCTGAGTATTGGGTCCACTCCCACCGTCGGCTCATCAAGCACTAACAACTTAGGATTATGAACTAAAGCTGCTCCGAAGGAAACTCTTCTCTGTTCTCCGCCACTGGAACAAACATTAAATACAATATATTTATTAACAATATATTTATTAACAATTTATTCCAACAACTTATTTTATATGCCATTCATCTCCTCGTTAAATATTGTTCAGTTCAATTAATACATAATTGAATAAGGGTGAGAATCTTATTTTCCATTCCGCAGCATATGTATGGATCACGGGCGGATCTACGGAGGGGGCTTTCGGGCTGAAGCCCCCCCAAAATGGTAAAATATAACTATGTTTTATGGGAAAATATATTAAAAAATTGTCTCTTAAAGTATTATTATTGGTGTAATTACATTTAAAAGGACTTAAGGAATCACTTAAACACCATTTCATATAGATAGCTAGTTTCTTTCTTTTTTTCCACGGTAATTATCGCCATTTTTTATGAAAAAAAAGCTTTCGGGCCCCCCCCCAAAATTAAATCCTGGATCCGCTAGTGGTATGGATCTAAGAGAGCTAGAGAGACATAACTCATAAGATAAAACCATTGATGAATTTTATAACCTCTTGGGTGAGCCAGACATAGTAAGAAACATTGTGCTGGGAAGACTGTTGGCCAAGTGGCTCATAAGACAGAAGATGAATTCCTCAGAAAAATAATGAGTGAGAACAGAGATATCTCTTTGAGTCATAGGCAGATCTATGGGGAAGGGAGGGAGGTAACTTTCGGGTTGAAGCCCCCCCAAATAGTAAAATATAACCTTGTTTATGGTAAAAAATTATCTCTAAAAGTATTATTGTTCGTCTAATTACATTTAATAGGACTTAAAGAATCACTTAAACACCATTTTGTAGTAGACATCCCCCTCTATTTACTCCTTTAGATGACATTGTGTGAGGGAATGAGAAGGAATATATAATATATAGGAATGTGAGGTTGCACTGTGAATTGTACTCAATTGTGCAGTGGACAAATTGCTCATTGGAAAATCTCATATCGATAAACAATCGAAAAGAAGAAAAAAGGTCCGATCAGGCAGCAGCAGCTGGAAGAGGACGCCAAGCACTTGAGGCATGGACACCAACACAAGAAGACGTCATCTGGGAAGAGAGCCTTACTACATTGAACACCAAGATTATCAAGCCGACCATTCACTTATATATATTCATTTATTATCAGTTGTAAAAATAAATTTGTTTTATTATACAGGAGTGAAAAGTCATTTTATTTAGTTGTCCTATATGCCTCACAACTGAAGAATAACAAACCAGGTGAGTCAATTCATTCAAAGTGTATTTACGAAGTCCCACATTTCATATATATATTCTTATTGTTTCTTCTCACACAGTGTCACAAAGGTATTAGATTCCCAATCACAGTTAAACACCCTCAAAAGTCGATATCCAGTGCCGGGGTTTTGTTTTAATAATTCACGAGTGTAAAAAACCTTAATCCCCGATATAAAAGCGGAAGGCTATTCGCTATTCCCGCCAAAACATCTTTATTTTACATTTAACTTTCAGTAGGTTATTTACAATTTCATGTAGGTAGTTAGTTTCTTTATTTCTTCCGAAGTAATTATTCTAATATATACATACAAAAAAAAAAATCTTTTGGGTTGAAGTTCCCCCAAAATTAAATCCTGGATCCGTTAGTGTCTTGAGTTATAGGCGTCATTGGAGAGACTTTACCAGGCAACCCTCCTATCAACCACAATGGGCTTATGGTCTATTTTCTCAAACTTCCTAGTTTTATATCTTCACATGTCTATCAATGGTTGGAACTTTTAAAATCTTTAGTCTTCTTGTAGTTTTAATTATTAAAAAACTTCTTTTTGTAGTTTTAATTATTATTAGAACTTTAGACCAAACGATAGAAGTAAAAAAATAAAAAAGACGAGATAAATAATATGAAACATAAATTGGTTTTTGTTATATATTCACTAAGTAATAACATTTACAATGTATACAATTATCATTGTGTTTAAATTACTCTAATAAACTTTGTTTTGGCTGATCGTCGTTTGTATCATAATCTTCTTTTATTTTATTTTTTCTTTTTTTCTTTTTTCTTTTCTTTTTTTCCTATCCCCTCAGGAATTTCTTGATTACAAATACAATATATATATATACATGTTATATATACATAAATTTTTCAATTTCCTTTTATTGCCCAAGAGTATTTTAAGGTAAGAGGGTTCTGCACGCTGTATTCGTTCTTTGCATCTGTGGCCAGAGGCCTTTTATTATATCACTGGGCGTGGAGGGACCGCCCTCTATCATAATCATAATATCGTACCATAATCTAAAAATGATACAATAGGTTTATTATAACTAAAATATTCAATGAATACGGGAATCAGTAAATTTTCGAAACTATCGAATGCAACAGAAATTTAAATAAAAACACATAATTTCTTATTTTTGCGGCTAATTGAAAAAAAAACATTTATATTGATCCATGGTATTTAAATTTTAAGATATTTTATTACAAATGTTCAAAACAGTCATTATTATTTATTTATTGCAACTATCTTTTCTCCTTTCCGACTGATTAACTCGGCGTCACGTCAAAATACATTTTGTGATTTATAGCTCATTGCAAAGAAGACGAAATGCAGAAAATTTATCTCACTTACAGTATGTAGGTTCGATTTTTAGTTTCTGTGATATTTTAAATCACGTGCTCAACAAAAGTCGTCATCATTTGGTTTTCTACGCCATTTTTTCCCTTTTCTCTAACACGTCGTTGCCTTAAGATATACTTTCAAAACAAACGAGCGAAATACGACCAGCAACGATACAAGTTGCGAACAAAATGGCGAAATAAAAACAAATACAAATTCTTATTATTTTGAAAAATGTACGTTGAGATGGTATGAACTTATAGAGAGGATGAACGATAGGTAATAGATGATTTAAAAACAAGCATATATATATTGATATATAATGTATATAGGAATCAAATATAAAAGATGTGTTTGAATGGGAGAATTAGAAGTGATCGTCCTCAAAGATTTAGGGAACCTAAAACATATTGGGCTGTCTGAAAATTATGCAGAATTTCATATTTTTATTATATGTCCCCTCTGTATAACAAAATATTTACGTTTGACGGATTATTACTTTTACTTATCAACACAGGGGGATCTACGGGGAAAGGGAGACCTTTCGGGATGAAGCCACCGAAAATAGTAAAATACAACTATAATTTATGGGGGGGAAATATAAAAAAATTATCTCTTAAAGTATTATTGTTCGTCTAATTACATTTAATAGGACTTCAAAAATCATTTAAACATTATTTCATATAGGTTGATATCATCTTTTTTTTTTCGAAAGTAATTATCGTTATATATACAATTCGTATATATATCGTATATAAATCGTTATATATACAATTCCTCTTCCCAATCCAATCAGACGCTGGTTAAATACATACTATGTTATAAGGATTTAATTTTCTTTAGACATTATTTTTTTTCTCTTATTTTTTATTGTTTTATTCTGTGTTGAACGTGAATTTTCATCACCACTCACTAAGCATTGTGAGTAGATAAAATTTGTTTTTCTTAAGTTCTAATTTGTTATTCATGAAATGTATTTCAGTGAAATGTATTTTATTTCTAATTATCTTCAACATACTTCTCGCTATGTGTGTATATATACTTTATTTTATTTTCTCTTCTTCTAATCTTTACGCATAATCACTTAAATATCTTAGGGAACATATGTATATCATTATTTGTTTTTTTATATATTTTTTGTTTTAGTTTTTACAATTTCTTTCCCTACATATTAACAGTTATTATTATTTTTTTTTATTTTTATATTCCATCACTACAATGCTTTACCTATAAAATAGATTTTACTTTCCTTTATAATTTCATTCAGTGATTATTATGCAATTATTTTAGCTCCAATATTGTAGTACTGAACCCCTATCACCAAACTGTCCTCGTTAATTTATCCTAAGAGCTTAATTAATACTTAATGTATTACATGTATTTTGTCATTATTCATTGTAATAAGTCTTTTGACCAGATTTGTAGTTAATATATATGAACAATACTGTTATTCTAAAGGGACCTAGTTCCAGAATAAAGATGATTTTTCTATTCTATTCTATTCTATTCTATATATGAAAAAAAGAGCTTTCATGCTGAAGCCCTCCCAAAATTAAATCCTGGATCCGCTAGTGCTTATCTATATATGACATGTTTAGTAAGAAAAAGTATTGCGATCGTGAAAATTTTCTAATCCAAATTTCTACACTCTGAGTCTACTACTACTAACAGTGTTAAGTTGGCTAGCTGAGGTTTTATAAATTGTGAAATGAATATACCAAAGATATATATCTATCTCACCTCAAACTGCCGACCCTCTTGTTCCATTCCGGCAGCTCCAAGACTTTGGTAAGTTCGGCCATCCTCGTCTTCATTTCGTCTTTGCTGAGTCCGAAGAGTGTGCCGTAGAACCTCAGGACTTCCTTTATCGTGAACTCTTTGAAAAGTGCTATTTCCTTAAATTAAAAATCATTTAGAATCAATTTAGGGTGACATTTCTAAATCTTTTTTTGTTTTATTATTATTATTTATATGATATTTACAACTGTATAAAAAAATACATCTAGTAAATTCGTACATGGATATAATGACATGAAACACATGTTGAGAAATTACCCATTGGTAGCACTCTAATAATATATCTATATTAGAAGATCACGAGGCCATCTTCTTTCCAGACGCCTCGGAGGGTTATCAGGAATTGAATAGGAAGCAAGGTTAGAAACAAGAGGGTTGGGATAGTTATGAAGTTTATTATGGAAGGATAGATATTTGGATTGGGCCAAATCTGAAACGTAAGGAATATTAAGGTTATTGTAGATGATTTTATTTGTAACAAAGTAAGGAGCATAAGAGCAGAGAGAGGAGGAAGTCATTGGTTTACGACGTATCTAAATCTAAAAATATAAATTATATAAACTTTTTTTAGAAACCTTAAAATAAATTTGGAATATAATTTCAATATGTCTAACAAAAATTCAAAATTAAGCAACAAAATTACACTATACTAATTAAAGTATAGTACATTCAGTTTTTATTAATGGGGACTTCGGAAAAAAATGTATCATCGAAATAAAATTTTATGGTGCTTGTGAGCGACGCGGCCTCTATGGACTGTTATCTGCAGTTATCTTGTTATTTAAAGTATTGTTATTTATATTTCTTATTATTAAATTACTATATTATTATTATATTAATATATACATGTATATGTATTTATAAGAAACACCCAAAAAAGAGGCAACACCAAATATATTTATATCTCTTATTATACGAGGGTCTAATTTCATATGAAGATATGGATTATCAGTGCCTTATAGCAGTTATCATTGTTGAGGTTATAAACATTTAATAACAAGAAATATAAATAACAACAACACTTTAAATAACAAGATAACTGCAGATAGCAGTCCATAGAGGCCGCGTCGCTCACAAGTACCCAAATTTGCAATAAGAATAATTATAATTATATAATAATATAAATTGGTAATAAGGCGCTTAATAAGATGTTCAATATAAATTTTCAAAGAAATAAAACATTGGTCCGAACTATGGTTTCGTACAGTTTATTTTATGTTGATAAAAAATAATGCAATCTGGACTACAGAAGTACTATTTTTAAAAACATATCCCTGTTTTTTCCCAATACTTTTTATATCGATTTATCGAGTTTAGCTATCGAAAACCAATATGTTTTTTTAAAAAAATATCTAGAATGAAGGGTGACTCACCGATTTTAATTTTATTCTTTAACACCATTTGGAACTGCACACTAGCACAACTAGCAAGACCCTTCCTTATTTTTAATAGATTAAGTCAAATTCAAATTAACAAGTTAATAAATAAAAGTAGTTATAAATATATATATTTAGCATTTTTTGACAAAACAGATAATTGGATAAATAGTTTTAAATAATTATTTTATTTTTAAATTAGTTTATATTTATATGATATATTTATAGATTAAAAGTGTTATGGACGATTAAGAAATTGAGTCTTATGAAGGATAAGCAGAAAAGCATATCACAATATGATATAAATAATATAAAATATCATATAATAGTTAATATACTGTATTTAATAGGAAATGTCTAGATGGGAAAATAACTACTGGCACCTAGGTAAAATCAAACTACCACCTTCAGATAAATAAATAAATACCATTTCTCGTACAAATTTTTAGTCTAAAATCTTTATTTGGTATTAGGAGAGTATTAGTTAACAGGAGCTCAACACATATTTAATTAACTGAACAGCTGTGTAATTAGTACAGAGCTAATAGGAGAGCTCCAGTAACCTACTACGCTTCTAATACTAAAATAAAGTAAAATATGACATACACTAAAAACGTTTTTATATAACAGAGATATATTTCCCGTTCCACATATTTATAAATATTTAGTTAACCTATATATTATTATCATGGGTGATAAATATTCAGGATGCAGTCATTATAAAGTTTTTATTAGTGCCGACGTTTCAACCCAAACGTATGGTTGGTTCGTCATCAGGGCGTGGTTCGAGCACTGAAGGTATTCAAGTACTCTGCCAGTACTTGAATACTTTTAGTGCTCGAACCACGCCCTGATGATGATCCACATGTTTGGGTTGAAACGTCGGCACTAATAACAACTTTATAATGACTGCGTCCTGAATATTTATCACCCATGGTATGTAAAAAAATCGACTAACTTCCTTCAATTATATATTATCATTACTGTCAACTACTTTGGTCGGAACGTCGGCACAAATAAAATAAAGTTAATTTATTTTTACCTTGTTCTTCCAATGACTGCAATCCTCAACCAATTTCTCTTCAACAATAATTTATTTTTTAACTTAAAACACAGACGTAGCATGCCTGTATTAATTGACTTCGTGTCTGTTATGTAACTTACATCTTTTATTTTCTCTCCCAATTGTAAAAAAAAACAATTGCGCTTGAATAACATAATGCGATTAATGAGGCGGTGGTAGAGATCAGACCGCGTTACATCATTCAAGGGCGAACTCATGGCATTGCCGTCAGTATTACTAGTCTGAGAGCACGTCAATTATCTGAAGATAATTTTGAAAATATTTTTTTTTAATATACATAACATTTATATTTTAAAAAATCTACTGCGCTCAACACACAACTTTCACTTACCGCTCTACTTTGAATAGAAATTATTTTCTGGCAATGCCGGGCTATTGTAAAATTTTTGAAGTGCATTTTAAACCGAGCTAAAGCTTAAAGCTTAAAGATGACAGATCATTAAGACCATTATAAATACAAAAATTCTATTTATTATATCGACGGTATGCAATAAAATTCTAGTCACTCCATCTGCTTTTATAAACCACACAACTTTCTTTGCTTTTATAAACCAAAGAATGACTAATTCCAATTTCAACATTTTTGAGTAATGTCATTTTAGTGATATTTTTAATTGAAAAAGTTATCTATGCAGGCAGTGAGTAAGTTGATTCCGGACTAGCTGATTGAAGTGTTGAAATATAGAACTGTGAATAAAGGTATAAATATTGCCACTAGAAACATCACTAAAATTAATAATGAAGAATGTTAAAATTGGAGTTAGTCATTCTGTCAACCGAAAGGTTCATATAAGTCTCTACAGACGTTTGAAAGTATATCTGAATATTTAATATTGAATATTGAAATCGGTCTTGGTCTTGCACTTTGCAAGATTTTCGTTGCCTTGCCATGGATAGGTCAAAAGTTGTCTCACTAATTGTAAGTGGATAATGTTGGTATTTCACAAAGAGAAAATTCATCAAATTTTTCAATAATTTAATTTTGTAAAAGGTCACTTGATGATTTTTTGGAATAAATGGCCGATAGATACCTACTTATTTAAATATAATATCGTATCTAGAGTTAATACTCTATAGTAAATATATTTGAGGTTATAAAAATATCCATAAAATATTTTTATATTTCACTTCTTCTTTCCCACAAGTACAATGAAATAGTATTTTAAACAATAGCATTAGCTTGATTCAGTGGATTTTAAATACTTTTTTTTTCAATCTTAGAAAAACATTTTATTAAAAAAAAAAGTTTACATATAGTAAGAAAATTTCATTTAATTTTCTTGAAAACATGTGATTTACGTTAAATAATATTTGTTTTCAAAAATTGTTATTTATAATTTGTTTGCCACTCCCCGTTACTTTTTACAACTTTCTATATTAGATATTGTTTTTTTCTAAAATTCTCCGCTTTCAAGCGATATATTATACGTATACCTTCTGACTATTATTTCCGGAGATTCATTTTCGACCTGGTTAAGAATTTTTGTTTTTTCTTCTTTATTCAATTATCAAATTCTTTCAAAAGTTATATTTAGCATTTTTTCGTAACTTTTAATAATGTGAGATGATTAATCATTTAAAATAAACCAGAAAACAGAAAACTTTAAATAAACTAGAGATGTACAAAACAAATAAAATTATCTACAATAATATCATAATAAAAATAATCTCTGCTTAGAAATCTTAATCTCCAACACGGGCGGATCTACGGGAGGGGGATGGGCTTTCGGGCTGAAGCCCCCCCCAAAATGGAAAAATATAACCATGTTTTATGGGGAAAAAAATTTTAAAAATACCTCTTAAAGTATTATTGTTTGTGTAATTACATTTAAAAGTACTTAAGGAATAACTTAAACACCATTTTATATAGGTAGTTATTTTCTTTCTGTTTTTCCAAAGTAATTATCGTTATTTTTCTGAAAAAAAAAAGTTTCGGGCTGAAGCCCTCCCCAAAATTAAATCCTGGATCCGCTAGTGATCTCCAATAATTAAAATAGTTAAGTGAAAGTAAAAAAAAAAAAACACTTCAGTACATTTACAATACCTTACAAAACAAAACAAATGAAACTATGTACAAGATACTTAAGACTAATATAATTTAAACCAGCCGCCATCTTTTCAGGTAGCATGATCCGCCTGGCAAATTCACGTTTTTTTTTAAATAAGCGTAATGTATATCTAAAAAAAAACTTTCAAAATTTTCTTCAGATAATGTCAATTTTTTTTTTTTTTTTTGCATTCCGACTAAACAGTTTCAATCTGATCACGAGCCTTTATTTATTACATTGAAATCGTAGTTACGTGTAGATTTTCATGGTACTAGCCATATTGGATATTGACCATTCCAAAGACAAATACGTATGTATGAAGGTCTGACCTGTGGCATATAGCCTACATCCTTTCTGTTGTCCACGGCTAGACGTATCCTTCCGGAGTCCAAAGGCCTAAGTCCGAGGAGGCAGTTTAAGAGAATGGTCTTACCACAGCCACTAGGTCCGAGGAGTCCGTATCTGGAAATAACGATAAGTATCTATATACCATTTAATTATATATTAAATATTAATTAATTAACATAGAAGAAGAAAAATTTTTTTTCTGGCACATATAGTCCTGTAAGAATAATGATAATGAACAATAGAAGCGTCATTTGTCTGACGTAAAATGACAAGAAATAATTGAATTACAGAGTGATGTAAACTTAGAATTAATATAAAGAATAAGCATAATTAAAAAATAAAATTATAGATAAATATCAGCTGTTTGAATATTTGTACTGATGAGCAGCATAGATAATCTATGGTTAACTGTAAAATAATAGTAAAATGAGGCTGACGTCACCTAAATACGAAAATTTCATTCTAACATATATTCGGAACATTGATTGGTGTTTAAAAGAAATTATATTATATTTGTTTATTTAGAAATATTACATTCTGTCACATCAAGGACATTTATAATAGTGTTCAGAGAAAGCACACTCACACTCTATTTACAATAAAAAAAAAAAATAATACAGAAACTTAATAATAATAAATACAATAAAATAAAATAAAAATAAATACAATAATATAAAATAAATGTATATAAACAAAAGAACTAACCTAATCATACACACTCGGGCTTGAGTGGAGGATCTGGCCATTGCCAAAACTCCAATAGATGCTTATTTACAAAAGGTCTCTGGGCCACTGCCGCTTCAACCTTCGAGGAGGATTGTAAGGATGGGTGGTGCTGGATAGAGATTGTGCAAGGGGATTTGGATGATAGGTAAGGTTCTGGTGAAATTTGGAGAATTTTTCTGGAATAAGGTCTAGGACAAATGGGATATTAAGGTCATGGTGTAGGATTTTGTTATTTACATAGAACGGAGCATCAACTATTGTTCGAAGGACTTTAGATTGAAAGGATTGAATACGTTTGATGTTAGAAGCTTTTGCTGTCCCCCACAGTTCAAGTCCGTATGTCCATATAGGTTTCAGTATTGTCTTGTAGATAAGTAATTTGTTTTCAATAGAAAGTTTGGATTTTCTGTTTAGTAGTCTGTATAGCTGGCCGTATCGTCGGTTGAGTTCTTGTCTTTTGAGTCTAGTATGTGGGTTCCACGTTAGTTAAAAGGAATTAAAGATGTTTTTTTTTCGTATGGAGATGGGTAAGGAATTCCAAAACAAGGTAGCAAGGATTACAAAAGATTTTTTCAAGGAAGAAGTTCTATAAAAAGGAATATACATTTTTTTTTTTATTCTTTTCCTTTTATGGTAACCCCAAAGAAGGAGAGCTTATTAAGTGACTATTACATGCGCCATGCCTATTACAAGGATATGTATATATATATATATATATATATATATATATATATATATATATATATATATATATATATATAAGTCACCGTCTAGGCAGTTTTGGGCAAAAAGGATTTTAATTATATTTTTAAAATATATTATTTAAAATAACATTTGAGAAATTTGAGGTTTCCGAGTTCACTTATCTAGGATCTGTAGGCACGCAGGATAACAATTCCAATATTGAGATAAGAAGAAGGACCATAGCAGCCAACAAGTGCTACTTTGCACTAGCGGATCCAGGATTTAATTTTTGGGGGGGGGGAGAGGAGGCTTCAGCCTTAATGGTATTTTTTTCCCATAAAAATAACGATAGTTACTTTGGAAAAAAAAAAAGGAACTAACTATCTATATGAAATAGTGTTTAAGTGATTCCTAAAGTCCTTTTAAATGTAATTACACGAACAATAATACTGATAATAATAGAGATAATTTTTTAATATTTTTTTTCCATAAACAAACACAAATGTTTATATGAGAAGGAGTTAGTCGAGGGTGCGGTCAAATAAATAAAAAAAATTAAAATATATAAATAATTTTAATTTTTGCCGACGTTTCGACCCACTTTGCAGGCCGTCTTCAGGGCTACAAAAGATACAAACATGTTGGAAATATAAAAATAAAATAAAAAATAAATATAAGTCTATATAAATTACGAAGAAGTTGTCAGATACAGAAATAAAAGATAAAGAAAATAAATACATGATAAGAAAATAAATAAAAGAAAATAAATACATTATTATAATAGATTATTAAGTATAAATAACTCTATAAGAAAACAATAATTTTAAAAGAATACTTTATAGAGTTATTTATACTTAATAATCTATCCCAACAATATTACACTAATGTTACCCTATTAATCTTTCAATTTCTTCACTTCTTAACCTTTAGTCCCGTTATCTGTTTATTTACAATTAAAGGTAACCTCCACTTGCTTGTTATCCACTGATATCTTATTATTATGTTATCTTATCCATATTTTAACTTTACTGTAACAATAGTTATTCAATTTTCAATCTATTTATTCGTTAACATTCATGTATTCATTTTCTTTTATCTATTTTCTTATCATGTATTTATTTTCTTTATCTTTTATTTCTGTATCTGACAACTTCTTCGTAATTTATATATACTTATATTTATTTTTTATTTTATTTTTATTTTTTCAACATGTTTGTATCTTTTGTAGCCCTGAAGACGACCTGCAAAGTGGGTCGAAACGTCGGCAAAAATTGAAATTATTTATATATTTTAATTTTTTTTATTTATTTGACCGCACCCTCGACTAACTCCTTCTCATATCATATCAACGGTCAACCATCTCTACATCATTACAAATGTTTATATTATATAATTGTATTATATTAAAACATGTTTATATTTTACCATTTTGGTGGAAAGTGCTTCAGCCCCAAAGCCTCTCCCCCTCCTCCGCCCCCCCCCCGGTAGGCGGGACGACAGACGGGATTTCGTGGACATGGACCTAGAACTCGTAAATGATGTTGGATTAACTCGATATTTAGTATACTTATGTTTTCAAGGCAAAGGAACACGAATATGACGACAGAATTTGAAAATCTTGGCGAAAAAAAAATCCTTGTTTCTTTGTTTAAACCTGGGAATTTCTAAACTTGACAATAAATTAATTTCGAAAATGTTAGATGCTCATAAAACGTTAGATACCTATTTATAATAATAGTCCTCAATCCATTCCCTCACGACAAGATCCCGACCCTTTGACCTATACATCCCTTCTCATAGATCTGCCTCATTCCAAAATTTCTTTATAGCCCGCTCTGTCAACTTTTGGAATTCCCTCCCGATCAAAATTCGACATGCCCCTTCCCTGTACACATTCAAAAACCTCCGATTCCAATTCCTGTTCCAAAAACAGTCAGATAACAGCTAACTATTAATATTATATATGTATTGTGTAGCAATCATATAATCATAATACTTGGTAAGAGATAGTACATGCATTTCCTACTATCGATGTAGGAATTTCAATACATACATTTTTTTTTTATTCAATTATAATTAACTGTTTATTTATATATATATATTCAAGTAAAGTTTTATTTTTTTTATTTTATGAAATGAACTCATTGTATCTCTTTTTCGTTCTTCATTTCTCAAAGTGTATGTTTATGTTGTTCAACCCTTATATATAATTTTGTTCATAGTTCAAGTGATTCGTTCATAGTTTTAATTGTTTTGTTCATAATTTTAAATGCTCTGTACATAGTTTTATCTGTTTTGTATATAGCTTGTGCACCTAAGGTTTTCTTTACTTTTTATTTTATTTTATCAATTTTATTTATTGTTTTAAACGTTTAGACCAGTAATATTCTATTATTTTGTACATTATTGTTATTCTGAAGGGACTTAGTCCCAGAATAAAGTTTTTTTTTATCTATCTATCTATCTATAACTACTGTCTATATTAATACATACAAGCGTTATTTTCATTTTTTTTTTAATTTTAAAAACACAATAAATTACAAAATATGATTATAATGTATGTATATGTAATAGCTTAAAAAACGTATTGTTTATTAATCATAAATATTCATTTTATGATAGTTCTTATAGAATAATAAACATTTTATTTTATTTTTATTACAAAAAAATTTAAAAAGCGTCGATCATATTTTGAACACTATCGATACTTCCTCACATTTTCCAATGTAAAGAGTATCTTATTTTTTCATTAATTTTAAAGATTGTATTAACAACAACTGATCCAGATCAAATCAAAAAGGTTCAACAAAACACTCTCAGATTCAATTTACCAATATGAAATTATAACGATATTTAAAAATAATAAGAGTTAGAGATTGAAAACAATTACATTTTATTACTGACAGGCAGTAATCTTAGTGCAACAAGTACATAAAAGTTGTTTTTTTCTTGAGATCATATTATACTCATTGACTCCATCTTTTATTTAATTTTAAACTTTAGTTCATTTAACGGTTTTGTGTTTGTTTATTTATTTAGATCAGAGTGAAAACAAAGGATGGTTATATACAGATAAATAAAAAATATAAAAGATTATTTCTTATTTAGATAGAAAAAATTAAAATTTTAAAACAATAGAAACGAAGATTTAATATTTAATGTTAATATTTTTTATTGTTTTGGTTTGAGGTATTTTTCGAAAAAAATAGCTATAGAACCTTATTTTCTTTTAATACAATTCTTAAAACTAAATTTCATAGCATGCCTAGTTATAGGATATATTAGTACATACCTAGAAATTGTATGAACATTTATATATACATATATAATTTTAAATATTTTTAACTACCTTCGGGCGGACCATGGCGATTTAAATTAATATGAATTTATCTTTAAAAATGACTGCTAAAAATTTGTAAAAAATCGATTTTTCAAAGTTTTTTTAAATCACAGTATTTATCAAAATTTGATTTAAAACATCTATTTTTGTTAACAAAAATGAAAAAAAGATTCGAAATAAAACAAGTTTTCTAAATGATTATGTATTAAGTGTAACGTACACTTTATAAAAATACTTTTTTATTTTGTATTTTAAAAAGAAAATACAGTTACAAACAATCTGCACCAAATTTTACTTCTTAAAATGAAGAATACAAAAAAACGCATCTAGCCAAATCTGTCGTTCGGGTATTTGAGATAGTCAA